CCCCCCCCCCCACCCACTGGTTATACATATTTGTTAATTTCTTAATTTGTTATTTTTATTATTAATAAATATAATATTTTACAAATGGAGGTATAAATATTTACTCATTCAAGACATATAAATATTCACTCAATTATGAACAAACGATACATTTAGTGTCATGTAAAACAACAAAAAACAAAGTTATTAATAAAATACAATAACAAGTGCATATTTGAAATTCTTACAGTTCCGGTTGCAGCATCATAAATATGTAAAGTTTTTCCTTTCGTTTCATCACTTCTGTCAAAAACATCTACCCAGAGAAGCCTCTGATTTTTATCATCCCAATGCGGTCCTTCGCCAAGACCAACTTTATAACCACTCGCATCAAAAACACATTCGATTTTCGCCATGTTTAATAATTTTTCTCCTGGAGGATGGGTACTTTTAGCCGGTGGGGACTTAGGGGCTGATTACATGGTGCCGAGCTGGCCCGGTTAACCGGGCTGACTCGTTTGTTTAGGACCTTACTGTGGTTTTAAAACTCGCGTAAAATAAATTTGCGATAAATAATTGGTTTAGTATAGATGCAAAATCATCCTAAACCCGATTTAAAACTCATTTTGCGGCCCAAGGAAGATTTTCGTGACATTTTTCAGCCCGGTTAACCGGGCTGGCTCGGTCCATGTAATCAGCCCCTTAGCCTGCTCGCAGGCCGTTGTCAGGCAGAGCTGTGAGCAGGCCACTGAGCTATAATATTACTGTAATATAGTATAGCTCAGTGGAGCAGGCTAGTGGGGACTTTGACCCATTCTCTGATCTAATTTCTTGAACTGGATGGAAAAATAAACTCGAAATTTCTCATTAATGGTTCATTTTACCAAAATCGACACCATCTTGAATCACGATGCATTATGGTACAGAGGTGGTACTTCTTGGTGCTCGTGTTTTCTAGTGTGCTTTGCTCTGTGTGCTTTGTAAATTATGAACAAGCACTAAAAAACTGCGCAGTAAAACAATAACACTAATGAAGTAAGAAAAAATAAATTACCTAGAACCAGCCAAATTAATTGTCTATGCAAAGAAAAAATGTGTGCTATAAGGTAGTAAGAAAAACACTGACAAGTCATGTACAAAGCATATTGTAAAATTATTCTTTTGGCCAAAGAAAGAAAACATTATTTAGCCATACTGCATGATTTAATTGCCGTGCCGGCTATGACTAAACTGTAAAACTGTCGCATGCAACCTGCTTGCAACTTGAGCTGAGTTGTACCATAGGCATAGGCGAATACTATTCACTTAAAAATGCGTTAAACAGGCCTCTCTATGCGTTAAACAGGCCTCCACAGGCCTCTCTATGGGGCATCAACTATTTCGCTGACCTCAGAATGACAATTCGTCAAATAGAAACGAATTTGTAGTAGGGTTAGGTTGGGGTTAGGGTAAGGATTAGAGTTGGTGTTTGGAGTAGAGTTAGTAAAACCGTTGCTTTGTTACGTTTTGTCACTTTGAGGCCAGCGAAATAATCTCTTCCTCTCTATGGCGGGTTTTAGTTTTTCCGACCACCTGATTCCTCAGGTGAGATGCCTGCGGAGGAGGTTAGCGATAATTGTGTAGCTCATTATCAGTATGCAGACTCGCATGGTTACGTCATTTTATGTGATATATGAACAACGAGAGCGAGTGTTTCACCGGGATATCCAGAGACTCCAGACACGAGCTCGAGTTCATATGGCTTCTCAAATGAATCGAGACGTAACAGAATGTTTTCGTTTGCTGATTTGAATAGAATTCTTAACCAAGCATAACATAATTAGGAATTCTATTCAAGTAATTTTGCATGCGTAATTAAGACAATTAAGATATTTGATGAAAACACTAGTGACTTTCATCCGGTATCCAAATGGCATCTTGTGATCAAATAGGTGATTATCATTGGCTATAATTTACTCATGAATTATTAATGAATTTGAGAATGTCATATAATAAATGAGCAGCCTCCTAGCTGGTACACACGCAAAAATCTCACTGCTTGCCTAATCTTGTCTTCGCACTGCTTGTCACAAGTTTTCAACAAGTTTGGAACAAGCTGTTAACAATTTGTAACAAGCTCGTTGATATTATCAGGCTTGTTACAAGGTTGTTCCAATAAGCCCGATACAGTCATGATATAGCAGTATTGTTACAACCTGGTGTCGTCAACCTGTCGTCTTGTCTTCGCACTGCTTGACACAAGTTTTCAACAAGTTTGGAACAAGCTGTTAACAATTTGTAACAACCTTGTTGATATTATCAGGCTTGTTACAAGGTTGTTCCAATAAGCCCGATACAGTCATGATATAGCAATATTGTTACAACCTGCTGTCGTCAACCTGTCGTCTTGTCTTCGCACTGCTTGTCACAAGTTTTCAACAAGTTTGGAACAAGCTGTTAACAATTTGTAACAACCTTGTTGATATTATCAGGCTTGTTACAAGGTTGTTCCAATAAGCCCGATACAGTTATGATATAGCAGTATTGTTACAACCTTGTGTCGTCAACCTTGTAACATTCTTGTTTATCATGACTGTATCAGACTTGTTAGAACAAACTTGTGACAAGTCTGATAATGCCATGATCAAGCTTGTTACAAGTTGTTAACAGCTTGATCAGTGCGAAGACAACTTGTTGACAGCTTGAGTGAACATAGTTGTATAACAACTTGTTTGCATACTTGTAACAACTTGTATAGGAACCAATGTATGACTAATGAGTAATTATCATGGGGATAATGACTGCCTACGCGTTCAATATTACCATAATCATATCCTTTGTATATATACAGGGTGTCTCAAAAAAAACCAAAATCATTGAAATAACGTATTGTTCGAATTTCAATGCCGTAACACAAAGGATTTTGACAGGGTGATTAATTTGTTTTAAAAAATTAAAATATCTTTGTAAAGTGAACGTTTGTTTGCTCATGGGAATTTAAAAATGCTTCGTAAATTGTAATATGCGTAATATGCATTCGTGGGTTTAGTACTTTATGCCTGACATAACAAGTTTACGCTGAGTATTACCATTCATTATAGCAGTTATGTACTTATGTCAATCTTTTATGCACTCGTGGGATTAACTTAGTGCTAGGGCATTGAATATCGAACAATACGTCAATTTCAATGATTTTGGGTTTTTTTGAGACACCTTGTATAGTACTTGTAAATAGTCCCTTTCGAACCATTTTATACCAGTCGAAGGACAGCGAAACAGATAACGTGATTTGAAACTCAATTCAAGGCCTTCTTTCAAAGAGATTCCTACGTCACCTACGGCTTGCAATATGCAGTACAACGTCTATGTAACCAACAAAACCAAAGGTGTTGAACGTGTTTACGTACGTCTGAGGGGCGACAAACTACAAGAATCTGAAAATTGTTCCCGTACACTGAACGAGATGTCTGTGAACGTCACCTTGGCAGAGAAAGCAGGGTTTGGCTACAGTAGCAAACACGAAGACGAGCAAAAATCACGTACAGTGTTTGCTTGTTTAGTCCAAGGTAACGCCCAATTGGGTATTTTGACATGATCGTATCCCACTTTGACGCGATGTGAAGCGGGATCAGTTTTGATGTATTGAAATAAGTCACAGTGCACGGATTCAGCAGAACTACACCATTTTTCTAGCGACAGAGTATAGTTGTAAAAACAGAATCAAAGCGATCTAGCTCCAACCGATCCAAGGATTTCGAATGATATAGTCAAAGCTAACGGTAAAGTCGCTCTGCTTAGCCCCAACGAGTTCAGTGTCAACGACTAACTTTCAGTCAAAAGAAGTTTCCTTACAGAGCGCGACTACAAATTATCGAGCGAAATAACTGACAATTTTTATAATCTATCCATATCTACATTCAACGGCGGTTATGCAGGGCCGTCGCGAGCGGGGGGGTGTGGGGGGGTGCTTCACCCCCCCAATAATTTTCGCAAGTCGGCCACAGTCGGCAAATTGCTTCGTTACTGTTCGGCAAATTGCGAATTCGGCATTCAGCAAATTGTAAAAGTTAAGAACGAAGGCGATAAATAAAGCGATAAATTTTGGATTTAAAATAATGGTTTGTGTGGCCTTATACCATTTAAATGTATTTCTATTTTAGTGGCTGAAATGTGAAACCCACGTTTCCGGGCATGTTCTTCGCTCGACTGCTCTTATTGCGAAGGCTCGTTATCAATTATGCGCGGTTCAAAACCCAAAAGAAAAAGAATAAAACTTTAGTGTCTTGAATGTAATTCGATTTTTGACGACTATAGAAACTTTATTATTTATTTCACGAGGGAAAACGTATTAACCATAAAAGTTATCTAACATACGGCCCGACGATTACCGTAAGAGGCACGAGCAAACTTGCCATAAGGGAAACCGAGTGCGAGTAGCTCATAAAGACGTACCAGCTAATCTGTTTGAGACTGCAAAGCGCAGTCAAAGCCAAAGAGAATATTTTGAGTCGTCAGAGGCGCAAGATCCTCAAGAAGACTCCACAGGCACATGAGAAGAAGACCAAGATAAAGACGAGCCATGCCACTGATAAGAACGGACTTGTCTTCTTTAGTTCTTTAGTGAAATTACTGTTAACTCTGATCAGTCTATAGTTTTGAAAGACATACCGCATACAGCGATCGGTATTATCGATCGGTTGCATATGATCATATCCGTTTTACTTGTTTTCTGACGCATAAAATTTAAACTCTTGGAAAATCGGGTCGTACAAAAGCCCAGTTAACACTATCCGGCACTAAGAGTTTTAAGACTGCTCAAAATACAAAAATTGTCTATTCTGCGCCTGGGGATAAAAAAGGTCAAATTCATCAAATTGCCATGAAAATATTGAAACAAAATATCAATGCAATCACATGCAGATATTTGGATACCCTGGTTCCAGAGGTTTATTCTTATTATTTTCATTGCGAAGGAGAGAGGAAAAATAAACCTCTGGTTGAAAGCGGCAATTGATTCATTGAGCTGCGCCAATCAGTTTGAATTAGGGTCAGATCCTGACTCTGTCTCCTGACTGGATGATTGTATTAAAGTTCTCTGATTGGTTCAAATAGAACATCTATAACCAATCAGAGAGCTTTAATACGATCATCCAATCAGGAGACAGAGTCAGGATATCTGACCCTAATTCAAACTGATGGCGCGGCTCAATGAATCAATTGCCGCTTTCAACCAGAGGTTTATTTTCCCTCTCCCCTTCGCAATGAAAATAATAAAAATAAACCTCTGGAACCAGGATAATACTTGGATAACTTTTCTGACTTTGCGGAGATGCGCGTCTGCACCACAGTCTAAGACACTCGTTACTCAGACTATATGCACACGGTACCGTTTCCGAGCGTTTTTCGGTTTTTGGTTGTAATTAATGCGTTAATTTCTGAAACGTACGTTCTTTCACACGAAAACGTATGAAAACGACGTCAGGAAGCAAAAACGTTTCAAATAGTGAAAACGATGCAAACATTCGTTCTCTATGTCTGAAACGTTTGGTCGTTTTGGCACTTTGTTATTGTGTAAACAGAAAAGTAGAAGGCGAAAATGAAATTCCGGGTTTGAATTTGGAAACGAAGACTATAAAAAACTAGTGCTTTGTCAGAAAATGTTGCGAGAAAAACGATCAATGTGAACAAGGCGCCTAAACGCTAAATTTGAAAACGGCACTGCGAAAACGCTCAAAAACGTGACCCGTGTGCACATAGTTTCAGTCTCGATTTAGGACTTATGAAAACACAGTATAAATTATGTTAAACTTAAATTTTTTTCAGCTTTATATGTTTAATATAAAGCCACAACCCACGAACAGGCATCCATTTCAAAACAAGAGCCATATTGGTGTCCCTCAGTTACTAGCACACCAATATGATTCTCATTACCTATATCTAACCTTTACAAACTTTTGAAAAACTCGGCAAATTCAACTAGCGTCACTCGGCAATTTGACCTTCGACACCCCCCCAATCCATATCCCTTCGCAACGGCCCTGCGGTTATGACAATACCTTTTCCTATTAAAATCAATTACTAATATCTCGGTAACGAGTGTAATTTGTATACACAATACAGTAAGTAAATTCACATAAAACACCCTAACGACTTGAACGTCGAACTTTTCATGCGCCGAATGCATTAAAAACAACACTGAATAACGAGGAATAGAAGGAATGCAAATTATAATCATCTTTGTCTTGGAGTAAAGATGCTTAGACTTTCCTTGTAACAACGTCAAACGGCGCAGAAAAACACTTCTAATGCGATGCCCCAAGGGCAAGGGACAATTTTCAGCGACAATTCGCAATGCAAATGATGTTTTTATGAAATTTATTGGCTCGCACTTGAATTCAATTAAGTTTATATTTATATATGTAGGTAACTTCAGCCTCCTCAACACTGGCAAACCAACGCCATTTGCAGTAGAAGATATCAAAAAGCTGACATATCTTTCTGTTCACGATGAAGAGCAGATGTGGCTAACAGATTTCCCTGTCACTCCGGCAAACTATGGCTGTATAACAATTATCGGAAATAAAAAGGATGGGATTACCTCGCAACCATCTAACCCCAAACCAGTGTGGATCGAATGCAAACGAAACGACCCCTTACCAGAAGGAGCCATTTACGCCGGTAAGACCAATGCTGATGGCCCTTTGTATTTTGGTCGAGTAACTTCGTACAGCGGCATACCCGCCAAAGTGAATGTAAGCAATGATGGTAAATTTTGCTACAACTGGTGGTATGCTTACAAAGGAGAAGGAAGTGAGAAGAAGGGAGATATCTTAAAGGATACAGGTAATGCCATGCACATGTACAGTATCAAGTGAGTTGAGGACTGGAACTGACTGAACACGGCCGTGGAAGAGTGTTGAATTACATTATTATTCAGCTCAATCCCCCATTAGCCATTCCGAAGTTGATGAGAGGACTGGGGACGAATGTTAAAAAAATGCCCAAATTAAGAAGTGAACCAAATCACTAAAAAGACCACCTCAAAATTAGTAAGTATACAAAGTTTGAGGACATTTACATGAATACCCTTCGAATAATAAGCTTTCGGAAATCGCGATATTTACTATGAAATGCACTGTAATTTTTGTTTCGGGGGACGCGCGTCCCAAATTAGAATCTTTTAATGATCAGTCAGAATTTCACAATTTTCGAAAGCTTGTTATTCGAAAGGTATTCATGTAAACGTCTTCAAACTTTGTACACATACTAATTTTGAGGTGGTTTTTTTAGTGATTTGGTTCGTTTCTTAATTTGGCCACTTTTTAACACTCGTCCCCAGTCCACTCATCAACTTCGGAATGGCCATTCTCGTACCCAGAGCCCTTCTTACGCGCGGTGCGACGAGGGGCTCTGGCCAAATCCATATCCGAACTGGCATCTGATTGGCTAGTTCTAACACAGGATATTGTTTTCTTACCATGTTTTCATGGTATCCGGTTATGGATTTGGCCAGAGCCCCTCGTCGCGCCGCGCGTAAGAAGGGCTCTGGGTACGAGAATGCGGAATGGCTAATTAGGACTTTTCAGTGACCAATTACATCAAGTATTGCGCTTACTTATGTTATTTACTAATTAGCCTAGACTATTTATCTTTACAATAACTTGTGATACAACTTTCCTAACATGGCGGCATATAGTAGCAATGTAAATTTTCACCTTTTTTGACAACTTCTTGTGCACTTTCAATGGAAAACCGAACGAGTGAATATAGCAATTTAAGTACAACGAGCACGAACTGAAAAGGTTTGCCAACAACAATGGTCAGTGCCAGTGGCGGCGCCAGGGGGGGGCAAGGGGGGGCAAATGCCCCCCCAAATTTATTTTTTGCCCCCCCATTTTGCCCCCCCTCAAAAAAAATTATTAGTCACTAAGAGCGACTAAAGGCTACACAAGCGTTTTGTAGTTATCGGAAAATGTATGGCTTATAAGTTGTCATTACTCATTAGTGAATGCGCGTATACATGAAACTGTTTTTTACAGTTTCAATATTAGTTTGTAAATCTCTGAATGGTAAAACTTGCCAATACTCCAATAATACGTTTCAAAAAAAGACAAAAAAGCTTTAGTTTTGCAGAGTTAAATTCTCAAACGTGTAAGGCAATAATAAGATGAAAGTATCACGAAATTATTTGAATAAACCACATCGCATATATGGGGGGCGAATGTCCTAAAGAGGAGCGATATTCCTAGGGTATTCGCCCCACCCCCCTGGGAGGCGATATTCCTAGGATATTCGCCCCCGGGGGCGATATTCCTAGGAATATCGCCACGTTTTGAGGGGGGGGGCGAATTTCCTGGGAGGGGCGACCTTTTTAAAAATTCTATCTTGCCCCCCCAAAATTTGAGTTTGCCCCTCAAATGCCCCCCCCCCCCAAATTTGGAAGCCTGGCGCCGCCACTGGTCAGTGCACATGTGTTATCGCACTGCGTGTAAAGTTCCGGTATATTGTTACTGACAAGTAATAGTTTGGTTTCTCGTGCAATTTGGAAAAACGAATTTGATCGTCTTTGAAAAACTCACTCGTGCATATTTTTTTCCAAATTGCACTTGAAATTATACTATATTACTTATACTAAAACACACTATTAGAGCTTTTCATGGTCAGTCACCAAGTGTTAATTAAGGCTGCTCTCCAGTCACGCGTTTGTCATACGTGCGTCAAGTTTAAATCTTTTTAAATGTTACTTATGAAACAACTGAATGAATAAAAGGAAAGCATATAGTTTTGTCAATGATTTAATGTGCATTTGTACAGGTAATTCATACTAGTATTAAATTTAAAAAGATTTAAACTTTTCCGCGCGGAGCGGAATTTTTCTTTGTCTTGTGACTTCTCGGGTGGAACTAATTAGAAAAGACAAAGAGAGATTCCGCTCCGCGCGGGAAATTCCGCTTAGTGGATAAGCTCGTTCTCCAGCTAGGCGCAATCTCGTTCCCAGAGTATGCCTGTTCGCGGGTTATGTAGTGCCATTGTGATTGGTAAGCGAAAAAATTCGCCGCGAAAAAGTTGGACAGTTCCTACTTTTTTTCTGTTCGCGCGAACAAATTCGCCTTGTGGAGAACGGGCTTTAGGGCCAATTTTTGTATTGCTACAGAAAGGCCCATACAGTAAAGACGAGCAAAGTTTGTAAATCCTATATCATTTCATTGTGATTTGAAACAGGCTATGAGTTGGTGCGCGCTTACCGAGGTGATCAGATGCCAGCGAATGCCATCATGACTGGAGCGACCAGCAATGATAACTCGTTGTTTGTGGGACGGGCCGGAGGAAATGTGCCGTGTAAAGTGAATCTCAATGATGGAAAGATCTGGAACTTTTGGTACGGTAATCGAGGAGAGAATAGAACTGAATCTGGAGAAATATTGATTTTGATTAACGACCATGCTTATTAAAGACTTTAATGTGCATATACTGTTCGTTTATGAGCTACATATGCTAACACTTTGACAACTGAATTAAAACTAATATATTTTCAGCTAAAAAGTAGGCCTATAGGCAGGCCCCCAGGACTTTGTAAATACGCGTAAACAATCGACAATCCGCGGATGATAATTATTCAAAAACAATTCACTTTGATAATTTAATTGTATGTTTGTATTTAAGAGTTGCAAATTAAATATTTTTTGATAAATAATAAAATCACATATAGTATTGGTAAAATGTGTACAAGTCATTATAATATTCATTATTATACATTTAATATGTATTCTCGTTTCTAATTGGTCAGAAAGCACCGGCTAATTTTCAGTATTTGGCATTTATTACGTATTTTCCGCCGATAACGTCATCAGCGTCCAATAATTGTTTTTTTGGATCGAACTTGCATCCAAAAAACAAATTATTGGACTCTCTCGTGCCCAAACCCTTGCGCGGCCAAAAGCTTGAACCTATAACTCTATAAGCGCGCGAAAAAAAAACAAAAAACAATGGCCTACAGCAGATTTGCTTCGCTGAATGAAAGTGAACTCTCCAAATTATTGGCAGATAAGGATAGTGAAAGCACGAAAAAAAGCCACAAAGGGGTAAATAGAAGTAGAAATAGAATATTTAGCTGACCTTAATTTGACTTTGTGCAAGGTGTTTGATATTCAAATTGTACTTTTCCTACCTCATGAACAGGAATCATTTTATACGTTTCTCATGTCTTTAAATGTATAATAAAACAATTATTGGATTCGGCTTTCGCATGATATCAAGAATTATTCAGACCTCGGTCTATGTTATCCGCCTCAGCTTCGCTTCGGCAGATAACATTGACCTCGGTCTGAATAATTCTTGATATCATGCTCAGCCTCATCCAATAATTGCTTATTGTCGTATTCGAAGATATATATTTGGAGCGAGAAATCGAGTCTTTCCGTAGCGACGTGAAAAAACTCCTATGATCTTATCCCCGTACCTTTTTGAGAATGCTTTCTGTAGAGGAATTGTTCAGGGTTCGCACGCCCCCTGGAAATCCTGGAAAACCCTGGATTTTTATTATAGTCCTGAAAAACCCTTGAAAACCCTGGAATTTTAAATTTATCCCTGGAAAAGTCAAATTTATCCCTGCCCCTGGGTATAAATTTATCCCTGGGTATAAAGTCAAATTTATCCCTGGGTATAGGATCAGACCTAAACTCTTTAAGACTATCTTAAAAAGAAAGATTGAACAAAAGGTTCTTGCATTATATATAGTCACACTGTGAATATATTTCGTTCAAACCGGTACAAACCCAAAAGTATCTGTGCAAGATGAAGTACTAGCCGTCGCGAACGTTTCTTATCCATTAAACACTTATAGATTTATATTTCAAATGCCCCTGGAAAAAGGATGGAAAAAGTCCTGGAAAACCCTGGATTTTTTAAATTATGAAGGAGTATACGAACCCTGATTGTTACAACGGAGAAGATGTTATTTCGCTCAGCTTCTGAAAGTTGTATACATTCCGTATCGAATAGGTCTTCTTCGCGCCGCTACGGAAAGCCATCTGCTATAGTGTCAACGTAGCTCTCTGACTTCCCATATGAAAAATCAATCTACTCCTAAAAGGTAGAATTCCGAGAGCCTAGAGATTTCTCAATTTTCCGAGAGGCATTGTCCTAAAAAAACACAGAACCTAAGCATTTAGTAAAGGTAAGACTAATTCCCAAACCTTACTTAAGTCCTCGGTTTCTAAAACACTACAAAAAGTAATACAGACTTACGGAAACAATCACTCAAGTAGAAATATATATCTAATATATAACATCTGGAATATTGGATGATTTATGATGATGCGAATAAGCCCAAATTTATAAGGGTTGTTTATGCTTGTCGCTTGACGAGTGTCTCTTATGACGTCAATATATAATCTGAGAGCGTTATAATTTCATTGAATACATATCTGCGATTATATCTCTTCAGTTCAAAAATTAGGATCGAAGATCCTAAGATGTGACCTCTCGAGTGTGGAAGGCGCTCAGACGGTCTAGAAAGTATCGAGTTCACGCCCTTCACAAGTGCATGTCCTAGTGGCTGTTTAAGAAGACTGAGAATGTGTTAAGCGGCATTTCAACACTGCATTTAATAAAGCTATCTTTGCGTCAATTGCCTGCAGCAAACTCGAGTACTTTTCATCGTTGTTTATCAGCACACTTTGAATTTGTTCCCCGTGCGTTAATTAGGAATAATCAGAAAATGATTTAGTGACGTGATAGCTCGCCTACTTTATTTTTTGAGAAAAACCTTATGCCTGTATGTGATATTTTTTGACTGTTATATTATAAGATGGCTATCAAGGCTCCCATATATCATTAAAAGACTAATTTATGAACATATTTTTTATCGAAATTTACGGAAAAAACCCTTCAAATTTATAATGTAGTGAAAAAGATATTCAAATTATTAGTGTTCTGTTACGCTGATAATAGTCCACTTGAAAAATGGTGACACTAATAGTGCACTTCCTCCAATTAGATGGAGGTTTTCTACAGAATTACGAAACAAGTAGGTCGTTATGAATACAAGAGCAATTGTTCAGTAAATTAGCAAATAAAAACAACTGTTCTGAAAAAAAGATACTGCATGGTGATTGACCAACATCGGCTGCACGAGAGAATATACAAACTATATAGTGTTGTGGCCTTTTTCATCATTGGAAATTTGCCATTTCGATAATTAATAGGTCTGTGCAGTATCATTAACGCGTGCGCATACGAACGTCGATTCTCTCTTGATGGATCACAAAAACAAAACAAATACTGATCATATTTTCCAAATACCTATAGTGTGAGATTCAGTAAAATTATGTCAATCAACAAGAATTCATGGGAGAAAACCATTATATACACATATTTGTGCGTCAAACATTTCATTTCAAAACGTACGTCCAAGAAAAGATCTCAAAATTCTCAAATATCATGAGCAGTGTAAATCACCTGTTTTGAATATATTCGGCCTGAGTTTCATTTCCAACTTCTTTACTCCTAAACTAACTTTATTTATACGGGATAGCTCTATCAGTTCTAAACTGTTCTCCCTAGAGGTCCAGTAAGGATCATCTCTTATTGATCCAGTGTTACTACAGGAGGAAACCTAAACTAAACTAACTTTATTTATACTGGATAGCTCTATCAGTTCTAAATTGTTCTCCCTAGAGGTCCAGTAAAGATCATCTCTTATTGATCCAGTGTTACTATAGGAGGAAACCTAAACTAAACTAACTTTATTCATACTTGATAGCTCTATCAGTTCTAAACTGAGGGTCTCCTAGCCCTAGGCAACAAGCGAGCAAGGGTTATTTTGTAATGAGAATCAACATTAGGGAACAAAGCCAAAAATATCATAGGGAACAAATGAATATGGAATCTGGGAGAACAAGGGGACATTGTGAAATCTTTGTGGATAACAAGGGAACAAAGAAAGAAAATAAAAAAATCCCCTGACATGCCTTCTAAATTCTCTTCCTAAAGGTCCACCAAGGACCATTATTTATTGATGCAATAGAGAGGTTCAGATTTGACTTTCACAACCTCGCACAGGCTTAATGTGATTGGTTAATGGTAACGATAGCACTCGGTGGAAGTGAAAATTTGAACCTCTCTGTATACTGTCACACAGAATGCGGAAACCGGTTCACCTCGAGAAAAACAGGGTGCTGTTTGGTACAATATAAATGTACAACTGGAATCACGCAATCTTTTCACACATACGACTGTAACTAAATTATAATCAGACAACTGTATAGACAGTGCAGGAATTGAACCAAGTCACAAAACGGTGAAAGGCATACGAACTACAGTCACACACCGTTAATTTCAAGGCATTATTTTAACTCCTAGACTGTCTAGTCCTAGTAGAGTTATTTTGAACTAAATTTAACTCCAAATGAAGAGTAAATATGGTTCAAAATAACTCCACCGGAATTAAATTAACTCCCAATAAAAATTGTAAGCACAGTATCACCAACACTGCGACACCCTCAAACAAAAGATCGTGTTACAAAACAAATCGATTTTCGTCTTATTTGAAAACACCATGTTTCGCTGTTTTATTGTACCGCGTATTATTTGCTTACAAATACCGCCTGGCATGCCGTGCAGTGCGTTGCAATGCATCGCAATTTGTTTTCTTAAAAACAAACAATTGCGTTACACGCGCGATTAGTGTGCGAATCAATCATCGCCCTTTATCAAATGTAAAAATATCGCCGCGCGAATCTGTGCGGGTCTGATTCAATTACGTTGCTTGCCTAAACGGGTCGTAAATTTGAGTAATCCAAGGTGCAAGATTATATTTTACACGCTGAATAGGCAGCTGTCAGAGCTCACAAGATACACTAAACAGTCACACCGTTACGATATATAAAAGCAACACTGAGACTGACATGTTTTGAAGTTTGAGGAACAGCAATTACTTGGGTTTCATCTATCGTGACATATGGAGCTCTAAAGTGTTAATAGTGGACTATAACACTGCTGGGAATATCAATTTAAAAGTGGCGTAAAATTGTATGGTTACCAGTATAGATCATGGAAGCTCTTGAAATAGGACTCATCACAGCGATGAGTTGCATACTATTTATGAGCTTGTTTGGAAATATTATTTTATTGGTTGTGGTGCATGGCCAGTTGTCTAACCAAGCCGTCCGAAACTACTCGTACCTAATACTCAATTTGGCAATCAGTGATATTCTGCTAGCAAGTTCGAGTATACCTTTTGATATCGTCGAACGACTTAAGGCGCCCGTCTTTCCATTTGGACCAACAATGTGTAAGATTCTGTGGCCTTTTCAGACCATATGCAGTATGGCTTCTATTTTCACGGTGGGAGCGCTCAGCTATCAACGCTATAGGCTTGTTGTGAGACCGTTCAAAGGAAAGCTACCTAGACGGCGATTTTTCATAATGCTTGCATCAATATGGCTTTTGCCTGTGTTCCTTGCCGGATTACCATACTCCTTTGTGCTTCGCTTGGACCAAAATTCGTCATCTTGTATGGAGGAATGGATTCCAGCCTCGAGTCAGGCTCAAGTGAAACTTAGTTTTACAACTTATTTGTTTATCATTCAGTATGTTCTTCCGTTAGGCTTGATAGTCTGGTGCAACGTGAAAGCGATCGTTGAGCTCAAGAGGTAAGCGATAAAATTATTATGTTTTTCTCCGAGCCCGAATTCCAGACAACGAAGAGATTTCGCTGTTCTTCGAAATTTAATTTAAAATCTATTTCATAGTATATTTTGTAATAAAAATAATTCGAAAAGGTTCCGAATTGTCGAGTCTCGGTAGTTTTAACCCCCGTTGGCTTGATGTGCCAATATAAGATAGAGCGACATTCTAGAAGCCCCAAGACGCAAGTTCGAATCGCGCTCAAGACAATTTATCTTTCTTGTCAAAATTAATATGTATTTTTTCATCCCTGGAATAAAAAAAATATCATGTATTCCCCGCCTAAAAGGATTACAAGCGCATCTAAATGTCAATTAAACAATTTTGAAAATATAAAAACGCCGTTTTGTATATCTGATTGCGTACCGCGCCACAGGTACCCATATTTTTTTCTAAATTCAATTATCCTAGGAATGTCATGTGTACATATGCGCATTCAAACAGTAGGATATTGACGTCTGCGTTATTCAATTTGAAACGAAGCAAATGGTTAAACGCCATGGTCAAGCTAGCCATTGCTTCGTGCATAATCACTGCATGCGCAACAATATTCTAATTTACCGATTATTACCGGCCGACATTTATGTTGATTGGATATTACTGTTATTTTAATGATTGAAGATCGTTGAAGACTATATGATATTTCTGAGATAAAAACTGTATATTTCACAATAGCAATGTATATTTCGCGAATTTAGATTCCAGAGTCATCTGACACGATTTCAGATATAAACCCTATATAAATATTTGCACATTTCATGGCCTGTAAACTCATCTGGCGTTCCAGAGAGTGTTAATGAAAACTCGTTTCCAAGAGGACCTTTTCTATATATGAGTAATGATCGCAAAAAGCAAAGGCCATAGGGTTAAACATTTATCCTGATTGCATTGTTCCACGCGGAAAATTGCGCATTATTGCGACAGTGTGAAATACACGTGTTCAATTATCTCAGATAAGTCGTGATTGATTTTACCATATATGCCGGCGAAAATTCCGTAAAATATTTTGTATTTATAAGAATCAGGGCATAACATAAAAGAGTGAGACGTTTATGATGATGATAATATTGACAGAAACGCAAGGAAAATGTGCGAAAAGCGGCTACTACTAAAAAGCGATACAGCGATACAACGATACAGGAACCGGAACCTGGAACCGGAACCTGGAACTGAGCATAATTTATGCAAATTAGAGCATTTTGCACCACGGGGGATATACATAATAATGATTTAGAGGGGGGGCGCAATTCAATGATAGTATAAAATATTATATGCAAGGCGAACATCGTAGCACTACATAGTAAAACATGTTTCATAATTGCGCGGCGATTCTTCTTATCTGTTTTGATATGACTGCACGTGACGCATTTAGTTGATTTAGCCGCCGCACTTGATTATGAAATGCCAGCAAACAGAGAAGGAAACCACGGCACGCAAAGCAGATTACGCTGCATTAAAGTTTATATAACATAGATGACACGAAAACGAAATGAAACGATGAGACGAAAACACATAGATGTACAATGTAACTTCAATGAATACTCCCTTGGCCATGACCATGTTGAAGTTTAGTCGCTTTAACATGACAGCTTCAATGTCAGATTTTGCTTTTGTAATGTCGGAAACGGTACTTGATAGTACTATATTTAAACCCTGATAATACAAAAATGTGACAAATATTGTATATCCAGTTTAGTTGTGAGTAGCCTGTTGCAAAAACAAGTTTATTAAACTCTACAGTGGTGTACACATTATACGTACTGTTGAAGGCATAACAACAATACAATAGATTTATTTTTGATATTTTGTTATACCTATAGTTGCCTTTGGAGATTATATAATAATATATAATGTTAGACCGGGAGATGGGCAAACCTGACTCGACTCCGCAGGGTTATATTTGGGTAAGAGATACAACTAAGTGAATTTGGACTCTGAATTTCAATCAGACATTTCAATTTTTCATTATTAAATGTATTTTTGACGTTGAAGTTACCTTCATAACTTCATTCATGTTTGTGATTGATGTTCATGCGGATATTTTAGAATGCAGCATATTCACAATATTCGCGTATTCGGCAGCGTATATAGCACATTCAAATGCAGAAATGCTGGATTACATCACTACACTCTGATTACTTTAGGGAGTGTTCATTATTTATACCCGGGGTTGGTACCGAAGAGAAATGGGTTGGGTAAGCCATTTTTCTGGGGTATGAAGGGTTGGGTAAATATTTTTTGAACAAAGCCTATGGTTGGGTAAATTATTCTCAATACAAACCTTCAATTGAACAAAATATGAAAATCCTTTATTTAACGAAATGGGTCATTCCAGGAAATATCCATTAATTCCCCACAAAGAAAACTAAACTCCAACTCCCCATCCCCTCTGATATGGTATATAGGACTGCAGGAATTTGGAGGCTTGGGAACATAATATGAACTTGTGAAGGTAGCCTACAAATGATTATATTTGACATTCAGTTAGTGCACCAAATATGCACAGTACTGTTTATACTATACTGGCCTAGCTTGTATAATAATATATATGTATATATGTAAAATACTTGTATAATTTTGAAATTGGGTTGGGTAAAATAAAAATCCAAGTCATGCAATAGTTGGGTAGGGAAAAAATGGTTGACCGAAAGGGTGGGTGGTTGTTTTTTTCTCTTTTCGATTAGTTTCTCTTCGGTACCAACCCCAGGTATAAATAATGAACACTCCCTTAGCGCACATGAATTACTGCTAGTGAATTCAGCGCAATCTGCTTTGCGTGGGGTGGTTTCCTGCTCTGTCTGCTGGCATTTCATAATCAAGTGCGGCGGCTAATAAACTAAGTGCGTCACATGCAGTCAAATCAAAACTGACAAAAAGAATCGCCGCGCAATTACGAAACATGTTTTACTTCGTAATATGTAGTGCTACAACGATGTTCATTCTTTGTTTTATTAACTGTGGTTAGTTAAAAATCAAAATACGTTGCATATAATCAGTGGTGTCAAGTAACGAAGTAAATGTACTTCGTTACAGTACTTGAGTACTATTTTTGAGAAGTGAGCATGTCACAAAGTAAACTTTTTCTGGAGTACTTTTACTTGGAACGAAGTCGTTTTAAGAAGTAACGTTTTACTTCGTTATTTTCATTTTGTGGCGAAGTATTTCGTTACTTTCTAACTTTTGTTTAATTTTACGTGATTTATTTCTGGGTTATTTTAATTTCGGGAAAGGTAATAGGACCTCTACATGCGTCTGCGATCTCTCGTTTGTGACTTACTTATAAGAATTATTTATTTAATGGATTTCTTATATCTTCAACGGGGTCTGGAAAGTAGACCATGCCGTGAAATATTGTATATTCGGCGCACGCGCATATAATGCGTGACAGCGTGTGTTGTTTTGTGTCTTTTGTACGTCAATCCATTGGAGAAGTCCCCCCTCCCCCCTTACACGCTACAGACAATAGTACTTTTACTTTTACTTTGTACTTCAAGTATTTTTTTAGGATACTTTGTACTTTTTACTTAAGTACGTTTTGACTCCAGCACTTTTTACTCTTACTCAAGTCGTTTTATTGTTAATTACTTCTACTTTTACTCGAGTACAAATTCAAAGTAAGTTAGGCACCACTGCATATAATATTTTATAATATCATTGACCTGCGCCCCCCTGTAAATTATTATTATGTATATCTCCTGTGGTGCAAAATGCTCTAATTTGCATAAATTATGCACGGTTCCAGGTTCCGGTTCCAGGTTCCGGTTCCTGTATCGCTGTATCGTTGTATCGCTGTATCGCTTTTTAGTAGTAGCCGCGAAAAGCGGCGATAAAAAGTTTGAAGTGGCGATTAATGTTGAATAGGATTACGACTTATAGGAATTATGACTCATTTCGGTGTTCCTATTACAAAAAAGTCAGTTTTTTGGTTAGATTATAAGGCGATAACTCATAATGTATTGCATTTACAAGTGATAAAAATGTGTAAACATGTTTGTCTGTACATGCTAGTTATATACCGGCTGATTCAATTAAGGTTGTCCTTCCAAAACCTTAAACCTTAAACTTTGAGCGTGCAAGGGATGATGGGTTTTCACCTATTAGACCCTTAAACTCAGAAAATGGCCTTTGCAGCAAGTGTGTTTTCTGTCGTGAGTCTTATATATGTCTTAAGTATTCTTGCAAAGCCAAATTTCAAAGTTTATGAGTCTAAATAAGCAATAACCCATCATCCCTTGTGCGCTCAGAGTTTTAAGGTTTAAGCTTTTGGAAGGACAAGCTTAATTGAATTAGCTGTATAAGCAACACAAGGATGTAATAATGAATGTTGGTTTTCAAAGGGATCATATTGTGTGAAGTATATGTCATTACAAGCTACGTAAGTCTGCAGACAAGGAAAAACAAGGAAATTCTTAAATTAAATAAAAATTCAAAAAAGGTCTTCATTTAAATCCTTTCCGGATTAATGTCTCCTTGCAGATAATAAGATTGATGACTGACATTTAAAAATCACAAAAAATATTGTGAAGTTGCATACTCATAAAACTAAACTGTTTTATACTGCAAAGTTCAATCAGTATTTGGAAAACTCATTGATAATTCATCAGAAAAATTCAGAAGAAATCAACGATTAATGAGGTGTTGTATCAACAAAATTCCCCTGATTTGCATAATATGCTTTTTTCTCAGTTCAAATCACTTCTTTTTTAAGAAATTCTTAAAACACAACTGTTGACATTCTTACGTTTCACAAGCTATAATAATATACAGCTTTCGCGTCTGTGTTGTTTCAGTTGTGAACTCATTAATAATTCATAAAGAAAACACAAAAGAAATCATGCGTGTGAAGGAGTTTGTATATCTATTCAGAATCATGCTGATTTACATAAACTTTAAGTTCAATTTTCTCACCAAATGTCATTCATTTATTTTAAATTGTTGAAGAATACGAATGTTCTCATCAAGACGTTTCACAAGCCATTTAACAAGGGCCAACATCCCCTGGCCCACAACACGAGAAAACGTGAAATTAGAAAACTCTTCCCAAACATGACGGAGGCGAAATTATATTGAGAAAATTGCACATTGCAGGAATCCAGCCCACTCAAAGAGGTGAAGCTAACCTCCTGCCAACAAGGAGACCAGAACGTTGTAGAAGAAAAAGACGGGTCTCTTACGACTGCGTGATATGCCGGCTAGAAAAACAATGCATGTTGAGATCTCTCACGCCTCCTAATTCAATAAACAAGAACACACGCGTAAACATGCTTTGCTAAACCTATCGAAATTTTTGTTTCATTATTAATAAACCTCCAACGGATCCGGACAGCGGCCGACCCGACATTTGGGACGCGTTGGGAATGAGAAGAAATACAATTCGACATTAGTACGAAGCCTCGAAGTTCTCGTTGTATTTTTCACGTAGTTGTATCCCTATCAATCCACAGCTTTCTCATTTCTAGTAAAGAAGTACTGTACATCAGACAACAGTGGTGTAGAACTGAAGCGATAACAAGGGGGAGGGGACTCTCAAAGGGGGGAGGGGCTCTCAAAGGGGGGAGGGGGCTCTCAAAGGGGGGAGGGGGCTCTCAAAGGGGGGAGGGGCGGGGTAATATAACAAGATGTGGGGGTGATTAGGCGTGGAGGGGGCACCATGGTCATGGAAAGTTCCAGAGTTTATTTTTGGTTCTGAGCAATTCTTCAATTAGTGCTCTTTGTAAAAAGGATTAAATTAACAATTCCGATATACCGAAGGAGCCACCATAAGATCTAATCGTAGAATCATAGTAATCAAGTACAGATTACTAAATTCATTACCGCATCATTTCAACCCTAGGGTATGCCATTATGCAATCTGCAAAAATATTGAAAGCTCAGCTCCCCAAATCGAGATTAAATGTTTAACAAAAGGGAACTCTACACCCCTGCTGTACATCATATGTTTCACAGAATCCCTGACTTTCATTTTTACATCTCACGTTCTCGTTTTATACCGTTCTCCTAGATATCTAAAATATCGCAAGAGGACCTCGATGATTAGTGCTCTATCTATTGAACATCATGAAAACACTGTAAAGATGTTGACTGCAATTATGGCTGTGTTCGCATTGTTCTGGCTACCTGGTCAGGTGATGGCTTTCTTACTGGAGTTTAAAAATGAAAATGAATTCATTCTAACTTACGGCTCGGATATTGGCTACCTCTTTGTATTTACAAACTGTGTAATGAATCCTTTAATATTCGCTTACTTTAGCCAATGCCATAAAAAAATTCCAGTTTTTCGGAAACTAACAGCAAGTTCGATTAATCCAACGCTTGCTTGCGAGCTTGGCAACTCCACATTCAGGCGAGAATCTGAGAGACGTGATTCGAACCAACAAAGACGAGGGTCGCTACCGGGGAATATAAAACGCGTCCCTCTAGCGAGAACGTTAAAACGGCCTTCGCTGCCTGCCATCCTACAGTGCGAAAGCATCACTGAAGTGCAAAGGGAAGACTTACTACAAGCAGGAAGAAATACAGATTTCGTAACTGCGAAAAGAAATAGTAGCGTACTTCCACAAAAGAAACAGCTACCAGTACTGGCAGAAATGCAAACCTCAGACACAATTTCTTTAATAATGCAAACCAACTATTTGCCGCAAGAACATCAAAACGGCGAATTGCGTCACAGTATTGAAAACAATGACCCGACGCAAAAACGCGGCTCAATTCCAGGCTCGCGCAAGAAGCTCTCGTTCTCATTAACGTCACTAACAACTCCAAACAACAATTCTATTCCAAACCTCCTAAAACAACCCAAAGCACAAACTGATGATTTTCCTAAAGAATGGTACGAACGTCCACAAAAGCGTTCTTCGTTTTCAATTCTCAAAAAACGAGATTCGATTACAGGGGCGCAGCGTGACTCGGTTCGTAGCATCCATTCTGAGAAAAATGGTGACGTAGATGCTGGAAATAGAGTGATGAGAAATTTCTTGGAAATTATAAAAACAATGAAGGAAGACGTTTTGAGGAAATACCTCGACGCGACACCAGAAACTGTGTTAAACTAACCTATGAATAAGCTCTTCAAACTTGTTTGCCAACCAGGAGTCGCAAAGAAACATCCCATGTACGAAATTCATGTATTAATGCACCAATTCGTTAAGCAAATATTCTAAGACAATTAAGAAACCAACTATGACACACACAATGTTGTGGGTTGTTGAGGAGAAAGGCTCCGATTATACTTTAAACTGTGACCAAAGTGTCACCCCACAGACTCACTATTACAGCAATATGATTGTGATATAATTATATGTCCTCAGGGGGTCGTGGTTCCCCCATGTTGGACTTTACCCAAGGGGTAGTAGCTCCCCAGATGGGCATTCTAAATGTCCAAGGGGTAGTGGATCCCTGTGATGGTCATTGTTTACTTTAAAATACACTGTATAATACATTGACTTGTGTGAGTCTATGGGGTTGAGGGTGGCCTTTGGGAGCACGCGATCCCCAACAACCAAATTTTAACATGCAGGAATCACAAAAGAAACATTCCATGTACGAAATTCATGTATTTGTAACTATATAAATCACTGTACAAAATTACATTACGGACACGTAATGAGATTTATAAGATGAAGACATGGAGGGAATGTTGGAAGAGCTAATGATAATTTTTTATTAGTCTTCCTCCAACATGGACGTCAAGTGTAAATCAAGAATATAATTTTGCAAAAAAGATAAATATTCTTTCTTGTGTATATATGTAAAAAAATAAAAAATATTACCACAGCATTTTTATTTGTTAAAGAGCCAGAAATCGAGTTAGGGATTATAGTGCTCCGAGTTTAAAGAACCAAGCCTGGTCGAAAAAAGTGTTTAAAGGTTCTTCGGATCCTCAATTTTTCAAATGTTTCTCAAAAGTGCGTAAGCGCGCCACTGATCTATATAAAAACACTGTAGTGTCCCTATTTTTAGTTATTTTTTTAGTTATTTGCGCCTGAGTACGAGGCTGGCTGGTTACGAGGCTGGCCAATAAATTTTATATTTGCTGGCCAATAAGTATTTCAGGCTGGCCAATAAATATTATGTCTTGTCTGAAAGTCATTTGCTGGGCTTTAATTTTCATTTTTAAATTACGCTTTCCACCCGGTGTATCAATCGCTATCTAAAATGTAGTATTTCGGCTGATGAGAAAGAACGTGACTTAATATTAGCCATTCCGAAGTTGATGAGTGGACTGGGGACGAGTGTTAAAAAGTGCCCTAATTAAAATATGAACCAAATCACTAAAAAGATCACCTCAAAATTAGTAAGTATACAAAGTTTGAAGACGTTTACATGAATATCCTTCGAATAACAAGCTTTCGAAAATCCGATATTTACTATAAAAAATGTATTGCAATTTTTGTGCGCGTCCCAAAAACAATCTTTTAAACCAGGCTTTAGATTCAGGATCCCACAACAACGCCTATTAAACATCTTTTCCCTGGAATACTCCCTCGTTTGTCATTGTTTCATTTCTGTTGCACTTATGGCATGTAAATATTTAAAATTGCTCTAGGGTTTTGGTTAGCCTATCATGTTTTAAGTGTTTTATATTGTTTTCAATTTTTAAGTGTTTTAAATGGCGAAATTACCGCAAACACTTAACATCGTTTGATCAGCTTGAAAATCTGGCCACAAGTGGATATTGATATTGTCTGTAGCAGATCTGGAAGTGTTTAATTAAGGTTCCTTGGATCCTCAATTTGCAGTTTTTAAAATGTTCCTCTAAAGTACGTAAAAAACAATGGAAATTTCGCCAAATTGAAACAGTGTTCAACACACAATCTCAAATGAGAGATAAGGAATGATGCTGATGCCTCATTTTAATATAATTATTCCATATAACATAACATATTATAATATAGCATTTGTAAATTCTGAACGCTGATTGGTTAAAAGCCATGTTGATATAACTCAATTTTCTTTCTTTCTTTATGAAAAATTTCTTTCTTTATGTTTCTTTGTGCTATATTATAAAACAAATATAAAACATTTTTTCCGTATTGATATACAGTTATATCAACACTCGTGGAAATTGGGAAAACTCGAAATTATGTGAAAACACTCCGCCCTTGGGGCGTCGTGTTTCCACACAATTTCTCGTTTTTCCAATTTCCACTCGTGTTGATATAACTGTATACCAACACGGAAAATGTTTTATATTTGTTAAACATAACACACACATTAATGTCCCTCAATCTTTTTCCCAAGCGCCGATACGATTGTAGAAAACTCTTAACTGGCCTACTTTTCAACCACAATTTTGTAATTAATTAAATAGCAGTTGACACTACGCGATTTTGATTGGTTAACAGTCTCGCACTATAAACTGTAGTGAACTTTGACTACCTTTTCACTACAACCGCGGTGTATGGTCTGTTTACTATAGTATAGATTGCATCTTATAGTTTTATGCATGATGTTAAATTAGCAATCTAGCACTGTAGGACATCACATTAGACATATAATCAATTACCTTTGGCTTTGCTTAGCAGCAAGATGTCTCCGTCAAACACGTATAAACAGCACGAGACGAGAAATTTAAAATGCAAATGCGTAGAGGGTTTATATGCGTACATGCAAGGAACGCTATAAGCTTGTCAAATAAGAACTACCAAAATACATGGGCGCAATACATGCATCACTGAAGTCTTCTAGCAAATATGTAAGTATACCGTTAAACCGTTAATATACCCTTACAGAGTGTCTAGTTCAAAAGTAAGAACTATTTATAATATTTAACATTCACATTTGTCAAAATGAGCAAATGGGAGCAGCAGGGCTTATGTCTAATTGCACAGTATGCTTTGGATATAATCTCATGCTCTTCAAAAGACACATGCTTGGACCTAGCCTAGGTAATGAGTTCGCCACAACTATCAATCGCTTTTAAGTATACGGATATACGCATGCTTCAATCTTTATGTTTCCGCTCATGAAACAGCTTATTACCCCAGGCAGGATATGAACTTTCAAAAACATCTGATTTACAAGTTAACACAGCGGCAGACGAGAGTTTACGAAGTGCGACGTTGCATGTAATCAAAAACAAAGACTTGAAAATTCCTTCTCGAAGAGCACTTTTAATTAATGGAATAATAATGATGCTTTTAAGTCAAAATTTCATGATTCCACCTCTGCAAGAGATGAGACAAGTCTTATGAGTTGTGGTTGGATATATATGTCAATATGAGGCGGTCGAAACAGTGCACTAAACCGTGACTGGGATTCTAATGTATTGAAATTGGATTTACCAGGAAAAGTCGTGAGCAAATATTGACGTAGCTGTTTATATTTGAGAGCTTAATTGATTGGGTAACACTCGAACTGTTTAATACTGTACAGTAAGTACACTTAGATGAACTAGTAAATTATAGCTACACTGAATTATGAATTTGTTATAAGATATTTTTTGTAGTTTAATTTTTCAAATGATTCCAACATGCATCGCTATCGGTCCAATGACGTCTTCCAGACAATGTTGAACGAACATTTTGAATAAAGTCAATAACATTCCAACATGAATACGACAATAGCATTCCAACATATCAGTGCAACCCTACCAATCATATAATGTTCATCCACTGAAACCCAACGATTTTGCTTTTTGCATCCAACAACGTAGGATGATACTCGACGGAACGATAACGGTCCTAAACACCTTATGATCTTCTTCAGCAGTATACTCAGTAGAATATCACATAATCAGCTTTAGTTCAAGCCTTTATTCTTAATGTTATTGTTATTTAACTTTGACTTGGTGAAAACACTACGTTCCCTTAGTATTTCGCAAAGCTTTGAATTGTCATCTGTATTCATAAATAACACATGACCAGATCCGAGCTTATTTGAGGCTTATGATGGATTGAACGCTTCATTGCAACGCAAACTCCCACAACGAACTCAAGGTAGATTATAAATAGAACTCTACTCTATAAATAATTATAATTGAGAAAAAGGAATGGCATCATGAAAGGTCGATGGAAGTATGCCAGTCTGCCAAAGCAAATTTCGATTCCTGCGACATGATACCATTCAGTTTGCCTCAGGTTAATTCTTCCTGCAAAACTAGACCATGCATGCACTACGGCACTAGCTATAACGTTTAAGAGATGAACCTTTTATGAAGTTTACGCCCGTATTCTAAAAGCTCACTCATACTCAATGAGTGGAGGTTCAATCTGAGCTTCTCTTGAGTGTCAATGCTGTTTTTGAATAGCTGGAGGGTGAGTAGTCACATAGTAAGGTATGACATTATATAGCCCTCCAGCTGTTCAAAAACAGCACTAACACTCAAGAGAAGCTGAGATTGAACCTCCACTCATTGAGTGTACGTGAGCGTTAGTCTTTAGAACTGATAAAGCTATCCAGTATAAATAATCTTTGCCTTAGTTTTGGTTTCCTCCAGTAATCATACTTTCTTCCAGTAATCATTACTGGACCTGTGGAGCTGTGGGAAAAACATGTTCGAACTGATGGAATTATCCAGATTTAAGGACTGCAGTTTGTTTTAGTGGTATATATATATATATATATATATATATATATATATATATATATATATATATATATATATATATATATATATATATATATATATATATATATCGCTGTTCACTCCCGAATCGAGGAAATTTAAAATACATGACAGTGAATCTCAGACAAACACAGTGAACAACAGTAGTTCTCGACGGGACAGTTTTATAACGAGCTTGTGGCAAAACAAATAGAACAAACAATCTAATTTATCAATCAACAATGTCGTGGCCTCGTGTTCGCTTTGTTTTGATCAAAATAAAATACAACTAAACCCTAATACAATAGCATAAAAAAATGCTATTAAAATTAGTAAAAATTCGCGTGATGTTTTGATTAATGTATCAACACCAACACTAATAAATGTGTTGAATGTGTTGTCTATCTTCCAACGCATGCACGCCACTTGAACTTTAAGAGAAAACTTAACGCTTAAAATAAATTATTTCCCTCGCATGTTGGAATCTTTTAATTAAAAATAGAAGACGAATAATTAAAAGATTATTAAGACTTTTTGGTCACGCAAATTGATACGATTTGGGCAGTGATATTTCGTGACTTTTGTGGGTTTAAAATTTGCGGTTTGCGTCCAGTAATCAGTATTCATTAAAATACATATTAATGTTTACAAGTAAATGTGCCATGCATTTATAAACAGCGCAGAAAAGATATTATTGCAGATAAATGAATAATGATATAAATATTTTATGTGTTTTTCAGATAAAACGTAGCCGCAATATTTAAGGTTTCAATAAATTATCAAAGAATTGTGTCCTGAAGTTCTTAGACGCGCTAAATACCCCGCCAAACAGCTGGTAAATAGTAATCTGAAAACGTTATCATCGCAAATGATTTCCCCTACTCATTTTGAAATAGGTATATTATATAAATATATACATAAACAAAACTGTGTCAACAAATTTAGGTCACTCAAGTCTAATTTTGACTCAATTGCTGCAATTTACGAATGCATCAGTGCAAATCATTTGTATTGGGGCAGACCATAAATATATTCATGTATTTATATTACATCATGGGAGTAAACACGCAATATTATATCAGATTTCAATATCACAAAAGCCACCGTGTGTAGAGGTCTTTGTTTTGAGACAAAACACGATAGATGAATGATACAGATAACAACACCACTTAAAAAAGCCGAACAAAATCTGACACCATCAATCCGTGTTCGCGGATTAAGGTACAATATTGTGTACATACAGAATATAAACTACATGGGCTAACGCACTTTCTCTTCGCAGTGACGCAGATGAACAGCATTGAGGATTTCACCAAGGGACAATATATTATGTTTAATTATCAATTCTTAATCACAGCTTGGCCTTAAAAGATACAATGACGTGCTTATGACTGTAATATCAGCTAGAAAGTAAATTCTCTTCTCTTAAAAGAACCTATTTTCCTGCATTTTCTCTTGACAGGATGGACACCGTTCAAATTTTCACTGCAACAATGTCGTGGATAATTTTCGTGATATCTGTCATCGGGAATGTAACACTAATCATCGCTTTGAAGCACCATTTCAGCCGTTCATCACGGCTTTATATCTGTCTAATGTTCAACTTGGCTACAGCTGATCTCGTGTTTGTAGTCTCTTCGATTCCATTCAACTTTGTAGAAAGACTTTTTGCGCCTCGATTCCCGTTTGGTCCAGTATTATGTAAGCTAGTAATGCCATTCCAAACTATGGCAGCGATGACTGCGATATTTACGCTGGTAACTCTGAGCTGTCAACGATATTTTATGATAGTGCGGCCGACCGAAGATACGCGGGAAGGCCAGAAGGTGTCGCTAATTATAACTTTTCTTAGTCTGTGGTTGTTGCCGGTCATATTAGCAGCAGTTCCTCTTGCGATAGCTTTACGATATGAAGATGGAAAGTGCGCGGAGTCTTGGTCGGATGTTTATAGTCAATGTTTTACGGTGTATTTAACAATGATTCAGTATGTCGGACCGCTCGGAGTCATAGCATGGTGCAATGGACGAGCAGTCGTGGAACTCAGAAGGTACGAGAGATGTTTAATGGTAGATAATGTTTCATTCTTCTTTAATATCTTTTTTCTTCAATGCGTTTCTCGGATGATTCCATCCTTTCTATTTACGTTTCTACCTTATTCATCAGTTCTCCTTTATTTCATTTTGACCATAATGTGCTGTATTCCTCGTCATCATGTCTGTAATTCGTTTCCCTTCATTCTGATTTGCCATCTTCCTTCCTTTCTCCCTCTTCCCTCCATACCTTCCTTCCTTTCTCCCTCTTCCCTCCATACCTTCCTTCCTTTCTTTCTCCCTCTTCCCTCCATACCTTCCTTCCTTTCTCAAACGCCTTTTATCTACCAATTTATTGCTATCCTGGTTTTCCTTTCTCTCTCTCTCTCCATAACTTCCTTCGTTTCTCAAATGCCTTTAATCTACAAATCTACTTTTCATTCTGGTTTTCTCTCTCTCTCCCTTAATTTCTTTCTCTCTGTGACCTTCTCCCCTTTCATTTCCTGGCATTCTTTCTACCATTCATCTTCCACGCCTTTCTACATTCCCCTAACCATCCTTAATTTCCACATAGAGTGTTTTAGATTTTACTACAAGATTCCTTTATTTGGATACGCCATATTCTTAGTCATTTTTACGTCATCAGAAAGACAAAGACAAACCATTTATTTAGCACCCAGAAATTACAACTAATTAACATTTTAACAATAGACATTACACGAAAATTGTGGTGCAAGCTAACTGTAATAATCTTGTAGGGTTAGACGAGATTAGCTTGTAATTTAATGTTTATCGTAGATCTTCCATTTTCTAGTAAACTGTAGGGAGCCACCGAAAACGTTTCTTATGAAATAATTAAATGGATAAAAGTAGAACAATTTATAGTTTAATTTTGTGTATGATCATAGACAATCCAGAAGGCCATAGACAATCCAGAACACATCTGGATTGTCTTCTGGATTGTCTACTGTATGATCAAGTGCATTTGTTGAGGTAATTAGTACTTATACCTATAAAATGGACCTATTCCCTAAAGAGTCCAGACAAACATTTCACCACAGCTTGAAAGAGTATCACAAAATTAGTAATATTCCGAAGTTTCGTTGCGAAATGTTGTAAAATGCGGATAATATAGCCCTGCGAAGTCTGCCGTTTTTCAGTCATTTTGTATTACGCACGGGAAATTGATACCGCTTTCTGAAAAAAGGTATCAATTTCCCGTGCGTAATACAAAATGACTGAAAAACGGCAAACTTCGCAGGGCTAAATTATCCGCATTTCGCAACGAAACTTCGGAATATTACTAATTTTGTGATGCTCTTTCAAGCCGTGGTAAATTTTTTGTCTAGACTTGTCTAGATTAAAATTTTGTTCATTAGGTAATAGGTCCATTTAGAACGACTTAAACTTTTCTTCGCGTATACGTAGCCAGTATCGCAGTTCAAGAAAAACCCATGTGCTTCCTTCCTTTCGTTTTTACATCCATCTATCTCTCTCCTTCCACTTATCAGTTTTTTAATATTTCTACCGATTTACAGGCACGATCTGTATAGAGAGAACTATGCTATCATCAACGCTACAATCCTGGAACGTCACAACAACGTCGTGCGCATGCTCATATGCATCGTAGCTGTATTCGCCATATTTTGGTTTCCAGGGCAACTCGCATGGATAGTACTCACATTTTCACACGGTGATGAAAGATGGACGACACTACTCGAGGTTTCAGAGCTATTTGTTTTTGCGAACTCAGCGCTAAATCCTCTAATATTTTTCATATACAATGGTGAATATTCATTTGGAAAACTGGGCTACTTGTTAAGATTTAAGCAAAATAATTCACATTTGACTAGATTCCGAGTTAGGAGTGGTTCTGGCACAGCTGATATGTTATCTACGGTATAAAGTCGGGCTACGGTCGTAGCAATCTCAGCCGAGTGTCGCGGAAAACCTCGTGAGGTTGGACAATCCCATAGATGATGATGTGTTTTCGTACGTTATAGAAACACACTTGGTTCTGGCCATGAGCAGAATTTAATTATATTTATTGCCAGAGCATGCGATTACAGTTTGAGAGAAAGTTCTTCTAAGCTACGGTGGTTACATTATGTAGGCAACTTTCAAAATAGTACAGATTTAATAATAAATATATAGAAATAAGAGTATTGATTTAATTAATTAAAGTGTACACCTAACCTCAATCTTTTTATCATCTCATTCTGAAGAACTTCTGAAATGATATAATAACTTATCTTGAAGATTTTCGTTCGCTCACTTTGTTTCTGAGATATTTCAGTTTGTTTGGTATGCCAACCCAATATCCGGAATTTACGTCACAAATTGGAGTTTGAACAGTGACTATGAATACGGATATTCCATTTCCATACACGTTACAATATAGAAACATATAAACAACAACAGGTTCCAAGGCTGACAACAACCGAAGGTTTCAATAGTACTGTGTTATTACATCACTAAATTCATACTAGTCTACACACATAAAAATCTCACAACTTGTCAACAAGATGTGTTCGCAACAGGCTTGTAGCAAGCTTGTCAACAAGTTGTAACAATGCTGTTCTTTTATCAAGTTGCTACAAGATTGTCACTCACAACTTGTTGACCGATTGTTGAATTGCAGGACGATAACAAGTTGTAACAAGTCTGTTGAGCTAAACAACCTTGTAGCAAGTTTTCAACAAGCCGTTGCAAGCTGGGAACAAGCAGTGCGAACACATCCTGTTGACAAGTTGTTGGGAAAAGCATTGCTACAAGTCTGCTGCAGGTTTGTTACAACTTGTGTGTGTACTTCACTTGTTGCAATCTAATTTGCGCTCTGCCATCCAAAATGGAGGGAAAGGCCTGGTCGTATAGCACGAGAGAGGCTAATTCTCGTTTTCAATCTAGTAACTTGGGGTGTCCAAATGGTCAATTGCTTGGATACATTTTTTGTCCCAATCGAACCCGCAAGACCCTGGAACAAATGTAAATATATATTGTTTAAAAAAAAACCAAGACCCTGAGATGTTGGACATTTACAAATATTATATGTATACATTCAAAGGGTGGATGTACCAACGCTTTGACCACTGAGCTATTTGGACACCCCCTTCATTGCTGAGGAAAATAAGCAATACAATTTAGTCGCGATTTCTAGATAGCATAAAAATCTTGGTGATCCTAGGAACGACCTTGCATGTCTCAGGACTCGTAAATATATTTGTCATTTTAAATTATTTACAAATTATGATATTTTGAACAGAACTTTATGGATGTAAAAATCCCATTGTTACAACTTATCCTGGTCTGTGTTAGGGAGCCCTTCTTCCACTATAGCTGTTTCAGGCGACTCATCTAAACGCTTCATCAAGTCATTACTAAGATTCCTAGTCCTCAACAACTCCACAAAACTCCCGCGAAAAATCTCTTTGTCGTCAGCCGCCACTTTAATAACTTGTGACGAGCCTTGGGTACTCTTGTCCAGCCCATTACCATGGCAACTACCAGCGGGGGTGTAAAGTCCGGTAAGCGACGAGTAGATCGCTGCTGGGACCATGTGTTGTTCACTGTCTTTTGCCGAGTTCTCATGAAGTTTGTCCAGTAAATTCTTCGGTATTGCTGGCGCGTATCTTGAATCCACCCGCGGGCCGTCACTGCCGCTTGTGTCTTGGCTATCTGACGCCCGCGATTTTAACAGAGTCTTGACTGCCTCGTGACGAGTCCCGGTCTGTGACGAAATCTCCCAACGATATCCGCAACAAAAAAACACGGAGGCTAAAAATTTTTTCAGTCTCCCATAACATTCGTTGTTGTAGGTAAAGAATAGCACAGGGTTTAATACGCAGTACATGTAGTTAAAAATATCGACCAATGACAGAATTGCAAAGTAGTTCGAGTTATTTTTTATTTCTGTAACAACAGGTATTAACCACATGATCTGTCCCGGGAGCCCAAATAATGCGAAAATGAGGATTATGGATATGAGCATCTTGACAATTCTTTTGTGCGCGTGAAGATTGTCCGCTGAGAGTCTCGCAGTGTTTAGTCTGAACATGTAACGTCTGGAAATATTGAATACATAAAACTGTTAGTAAGAGTAAACAGCAAAAAGTCAATCACAGAGATCAAACAACAATTTTAATTAATAAGAAATAATACACGACACCAATGCCGAAAAATTCTAACAGTAAAATTATCAACAATAAAAGAATGCACTGACCATGGGGTCAACAGCATAAAGTAAACACAACAAACAAACAAACAAACAAACAAACAAACAAACAAACAAACAAACAAACAAACAAACAAACAAACAAACAAACAAACAAACAAACAAACAAACAAACAAACAAACAAACAAACAAACAAACAAACAAAGCAAACAAACAAACAAACAAACAAACAAACAAACAAACAAACAAACAAACAAACAAACAAACAAACAAACAAACAAACAAACAAACAAACAAACAAACGACAAGAAAAAACCAACAATAGTGATCGCAACAACAGTAAACAGAAAACAAAATAAAGCCAATGCCTGCAATCGTGATACAATGCCCTCGTTTCATGTGGTTAATTCCGGCTTGTGATTGGGCTCGTGCATAAACCATGGGGATATATAGGTACACAACTTTCATGTGCGCATGCTGAAGTAAAGCAGGCAAAGATAAAAGCGAGGCCATTGGGGTAAAATTGCAATAAAGAGTAAAATCTATTATATCAGTTATTGGTACGCAAACGAACAAGGACCCACTCTATGAGATAACCGTAACAGGAACAAAATGTAAACAAAACGCAAACAGAACTAATCACGATTGAAGATAAGGAATATAACAGATACTTATCAAAACAAATAGATGACAAGAATTCAGATAACTTGAGCTATAATCTCTATACAAAACAAAAGCAAACAACATACCTTTTCAATCGGCGTATAGTCAACAAATTCAATGTAGCGATAACAATTAAAGGTAGAATGTACTGTACTGAGAATAGATACATGGTATAAACACCAGCCGTGTAGTCACCCCACGTTTCCACGCAATCTTCTGTTGTAGAATTATATTGCAGAGTTAGCGCATACGGTAACGCAGTAATTAACGATGGTATCATCCAACATAAAGCTACGGCAACACCAGTGACTTTTCCTAACGATCTGCTACTGGTTGGATAGGATATCACATAGTATCGATGCACATTTAATGCAACCATGTTGAACAGGCCTGCACCATAACACGCGGTCTGCAAAGGCCAGAGGATGGAACACATCACGCGGCCAAAAGGAAAAGTTTCAAAAATCAGCTGGGTGATTTGAAATGGTGATGTGATCAGAACCAGTATAATGTCATTGATAGCTAGGTTGATGACGAGAATTTTATAACTGCGATTCACTTTGTCTTTCCGAGTTAGTAAAAGAGACCACACTACCATGATATTACCAGGCACCCCAAACACGACAATCAAAGTGTACAGGAAATAATTAAAGATGTTTATAATTTTTGTGGTGTCATTCAACTCGTCTGTCATATCGCTTGCGTTTGAGACGTTCACCATCACTAAGCATATAGGAAGATTCCTCCTTCCTTCTTTAAGTACCAAAATGAAACTCTAGGACTAGGTTTAACAGAGGTACGATGAATCCTCTTTGGGATCTCTAGATTAGACAAATAGAGATTTACACTTGGATTTATTACAAATGCTTTTCTTCCTAAAAATAGGCTATATATATATATATTGAAGGATGCATTTCTTGTACGTGACATTAATTATTTACCACTGCATGGATTTAACAGTATCTAAGATTTCCAACCTTTTTACAAAGAATTTGAATACGTTAGAGGTTGTCACGTAGACATAGTATCGATGCAAATTAACAGTATCAAAAATATTGAATACATGATGTATTATAATACTTTTTCTTTGTGGAAACACCACGTAAATTTACTACTGCAATGCTTTCGATCCGTAATCTCGGATCTTCATCAGTGCTAATAATGTGATCGAAAGCTTTGCAGTAATAAATTTACATGGTGTTTCCACAAACAAAAAGTATTATATGTTTTATCGCCATGCACGCAAGCTTACAAAGAACTTATTACATGATGTATTATAGTATACTATACGCGGCCACAGGCAAAAATTTCGGTCTATACAGCAAATAACTGAAAACTTTATAGGTTAGACAAAGAATGGCTTTGCACTTGGATAAGTTGGATTTAATCATCTTTTTTTCCTAGCTAAAATATTCAATGAAGCTTTCTAGCATATTAAAAAAAGGATGCTGCATGGTTCACAACTTAGTGTGATAAATAACTCGAAGTTATAGATAAACATGCATAGCTTATACTTCACTCTTCAGCACAAGTGAGTGGCCTTTTCCTCAAAATATGATAGAGGATGCATTTGTTGTAATACAAGCAGCGTTATATAAACACAGATGTACATTGCATTTCGTTCTAATAATACTGAATAGATGCCGCATTTCATTAACGCAAGCAAGGTTGACAAACCCAACACTATAGTCTTAGATCTGACTTTACGGCAGAATTCCTAAATTCTAAAACTATTAAATTAATGTCCTTCATACCTTTTTTTGTAATTCAACCGGCAACAAAATACTATTCTGTCACTGTATCGGTACCCAACGTGCAGTCTCTATGGTTTTCGAGATTCTTACAAAGAATTACTAATGTATCTCTACCTTTTAATTAAAATCCGTCTTTTAGATCTCAATGTATATTCTTCAAATTAGCAATCCTAGACAAATATGATAGCAGAAAAAAGTCAAAAGAACCGATAATAGACGCCGGATTCGAATCAATCCCCACTCGTGAACTTTTCACAAAAATGTTTTATTGCCATTGATCAGCAGGAGACGAAGCCAAGTGGTGAATAATTAATTCTGGACAATTCTAATTCTGAAACAATTAGATACGTTCGTTTTAGTTCGCAAACAATTTGAAGTACATCAGTGATCAATCTTTGACGTAATAACACTCAGGTCCTAATGTAACTACACAAATCTATACACAAACAACAATTCTTCATGGAGATTTCATATTTATCATCCTTACCATTGCGTACGAAAAAATTATCGTATTCTTTTACAATAGTAGTGTTCAATCGTTTATCCAATTTCAACAGACATTCTATCTGACAGCCAGATGGTTTTACTATTAATGCACCGGTTCTATCCCTTATAGGGCGAATATAATTAGAACAGAAGAGCCCATACAAACAAAAAATTCTGAAAAAACCGGTACAGCCAGAGGGCGGCTAATTTCCATCTCATTTACCTATATCTTTAATACCACAATTTTCTGTTCGTATATCATGCACCAAAACTTACCAGATTCGTTTTACGTAATTTGAATTAGCATTATGTCACAAACTTTTTATATGATTTATGAGCCTATAAACTGGTTTACACTTTACTTCTGTGATCACAGTAGGAATTTTTCAAAGGCAAATTGTAAGTTTTAAAGGATTTGTAAGAAATGTTTGAAGCATGACTGACTCGGTGTTAAACGTCAGTTCGCGCTCAAACATTTCTTACAAATCCTTCAAAACTTAGAATGTACCCATGCAAAATTCCTACTGTCATCACAGAAACTTTAATACTGCAAAGCAGGCTTATCACAACTTAAACCGACTACACCAGTTCATTTTGTAATAATATCAGGCAACGTTTTCAAGATGGCGCGGCGCAAATAGGATTTGGGATGTGTGTCAATTTAACATATAGGTATCAATTAATATTCATTTGTGCTATATAGCATAAAATATTTGAAATAGTCTACAGTCACGTAATGTTACATTTGTGATATGTTTCAATTTAACCTATAATTGGCTATAATCTATGTGTATAAATTATTCAATAGTGCTATATATATATAGCAGCATAAAATATTTGACATAATCTAAATTTGCCATGCATATAATAGCAGGAAATATTTGATATTGTCCACAGGAATTTCATATTTTAAGCTAGTGAAGATAAAATATTAAAGATATCAAAGATACAGGTTTTGCCTCATGTTGAAGGCTGATATTCCTCAAAATTCCTGTGGATCTCATGAAGATGTTTCTTAAAACTTACAAATATAGTTTAGCTTCGCCTTTCACTTCAATTCATTTAAAACATATCTCTCACAAGTTCCCAATCAGTTAAAATATCAGCCTGCCATGTTTATTCAACTATTATAATTTGTTATTCTAGGCCAATATATTGACATAGGTCCCTCTAGGGCACTCAGATATAATCAAATTTAAAATTCTACCAAAATGTTGCCGAAGACATTCTTATAAGCACTCACTGGCACATAGCCACATAACTCACAAAAACCTCCCAAAATTTAGACCTACGGAATAAAATATTGCCTAGTATTTGAAAACACATGCATATACGACAACAACCTGCTTCGTAAACATTACGTTATTTTGCAACAATAGACGAACCACAAGTTGAGTCGATCTATCAAGATATTGTCCTCCTAGAGGCATATATATTCAAGCAAACCAATTTATAAATAGATTTATTATTAGATAGGAAATATCTGTGATTCGGCACGTCCAATTGCCTCTGGCAAAACTAGATTCAATACCAGGTATCTATACCGATACTATATCACGGTCAGTAGACAATAAGGGGACTTTTAATTGAAACGTACAATACAAATATCGGCTGAATGTTTGGAATCCTGAATTCCTTGGAGAACACATGAGATGTATTAAACACAGTAACCAATACGACTATGGGCTGTATATAATCTGTTTCGTAAAGGCATAATAGAAAGCATGTCATCGATAGTAATTTGAAAGGAATTTTGCCGGAGGATTGCTTAATAGTGATACACTATACTGTCCATACAATACAAACTACAATATAATACCTCGTCATTAAAAAGCAATTTACTTGGCGCAAGCATGCTTTATAATCACCCAAAATCACATACTCACTAAAAGAGCTAGAGCAACTGAGAACAGTGGTACGACAACAAAATTTTGCATGATATATAGTTAACAGGGGCTGCATAAAGATTTAACAATAACAATTAACAATTCACTGCAACACATACCTCGTCAATCAAATATGTCGGCAGTTCTAGGTTTTTTAGCTTTTCGTAGAATCTTAGATCACGCAGAACAATTCTAGAAAATACGAGACGAGGTTTACTATGTTGTCGTTCAAAGACCGATCATCCTGTCAGCTGTGTACGGTTAGTAATGTCGCCAGAGCCGCGCTGTTTGCTATGAAATAGGCTCGGCTTGGCACCTGTGGTTATTTGGTTCTCATTACCTTGTCTGTACTCGCAGGTATAATAGGCTATAGAGAGTGGTCAGGTGGCAGGGGGTCATCATTAACACGAGATAAGTATCAGATAGCTCTATTAGTATTAACAATCACTATCCACTTAAAAATTGAATTAAACTTGAGTGTACGTGGTGTGTACGAGTTTTCACACCGTATTTGCTGCTTCTGACGCAAAATATATAGTCCGATGCAAGTCTAGAACAAGTTGTTGTCACTTTCTTACAAGGTCGCTGACCGAAACCGACTTGTTGCCCGTAACCTACATGTTGTTCCGACAAAACGAATACAACCTGTTCGTAACAAGTTGCTACGAGCTTGTTGTCATCGATTTGTCAACGACTTGTTACGTGCAGACGATATCAGACTTGTTGGAACAACTTGTTGGAACAACTTGTTGCGAGTCTGTTGGCGTCATCAACCTTGTCACAAGATGATAACACCTTGTTCCAGATTTGTTAATATATGGTATGAATATATAGAGCCATGTTTTCTCTTTTGGAGACTGAATTAAACCTTAGAATACTGATGTTTATGCTATATTTAGCAAACAAGCCTGGCTAGCCTCGTTTTGGTGCTTCAGTTTATACATTTCAAAAGGCTATAATTTCGCGGGCCTTTTGTTTTGGTGGAATAATATATATTAATGACTTGTTTATGATTTGTGTGACCTGAAAATTTTATGGTGATAAATATAATGTAAATTGACTTGTTTTGCGGAAAACATGCATCACGTTTACGTATTTCACAAAAAGTAATTAATCCTTATTTGACAGTGTATACTTATGCCTAAATTAATTAACATATTTAGCGACATAATATATGGGATTAAAAAAACTAAAAAACTAAAAAAGTGACAACTGCAGTCATTGTGACAAAACAATTCTAAATGTTTAAAACAAACTAACAAAAAATTGATTTGACACTTATGTCAAGGAATGCCATTTATAATTAAAAAAAAACGAACTGTACAAAATAAACTTGTACTTTGTTTACATTCATTTACACATTGGAAGCACGCTTCTCATGTTCGAGGAATTGAAGATATGAAATGCGCAAGTGCATGGTAACTACAGCAGGAACACCACTACTTGTATAGGGCATGTTCATACGTGCTCGATTTGCCAGAAAGCTGAGGGAGATTAATTATTTCTTGTGTTCATACGACTGTTTTTGTTCCCACCTGGCGCAAGGCGAGATCTCACCAAGCCAGGCTCTTCTCATTTGTGAATAATATGAACACAAATATTTTATATTTCTCGAACTTCAAGACACATGAATGCCCAGAAATTTTATCCAATTACTTCCCCATCTTATACATTTCAATGCCATTTTAAGATGAGAGGTAGGTCCCATTATGGCATCAAGCTGTTCTTCTGCGTGCAGCTCGTGTTTAAATAAAAGCTATTTACCTAATTATATATCAGCGGTTCGCCACAAACTCCGTAGAGGTTTTGTTCTAAAGTTTAGACAGTGCTGTCAACCTACGAGGAATGCCGGATAAACTCTAACTGTTTGAGCGACTGTTTTTATATAAGAATTACTTCAGTACAAGGGAGAGATTATAAAAGTTGTAAGCTTGGGTATATTGACTTAAATTTCAATGAAAACCACTACATTTTAACACACAGGTGCGCGAGCGTTAAGCGTGAACGGACCACACATTTTCAGAAGTCAAAAATTCTTTGTCATTATCAGACGCTCAAACAGACGGAAAACAGTGTGGTTTCCCTTAATGTGAATAACAGATTATCAAAAACCGCTATTAGACAGTTCTGGCAAATTCCTGATAAATATCGTATTTTGAAGTTCAGGTTTACATTAAATATAAATCATTCGTTTGTGCTTATTTATCAAGTTTTGTATTATTTACGTATTGTCATTGACATTGTTATCAGATCTATTTAGCATTTATTTATTGCGACATAAATAAACGCAGTTGATACAAAGCTGAACATGTAGTTTTGCGATTGGCATCCGTGAAAAAACGACAGTGATCAATTTGTGATCCGTTCTTTAGAAAATGTATTCTATATAATTTTATTGCGTTCTTTGTTATAATCAAGGAATTACAAAAACTGTATCTATATATACAGACTATAGCTTCGTAATGACTCAATAAACGTTGTGTTCCCACCACAGGCACAGAGGTTAAAAAGTTTTTGATAATTTATCTATTTGATGTCGATTGCTTGCAACCACACACTGTCAGAGGCTCATGTAAGGTGCTCGACACGTGAGGCCCGCAAGGGCTTGGCAATTAAGGGTTAGTTTTCGGTGAGGGAGGTTTTACCCTCGAAGCACACAGGAGAACAACAACAAAATTCTACTTTTTCATGAAGTTTCAAGCGAAGCGAAGTCAGTACACTCGACATATAAATAAACACCCTGCTCTACCCACAGTAGCAAGCTTAACTTAGCGAATGTTAAATAAATCTATTGCTTACTGTAAAAGTATAAAATAAAACATTATAGTATCTTGAAACTCAAGATTCGTCAAAACAAGACGACAATAAGTTTGTGACATTTCGATTCTATTTCAGATTATCATAACAGAGATATATCGTCACCACATCGGCTGCCGTCACATTAATGCTTTCACAGCAGGCAATGCACGGCCCCCAGCTGAGGCACAAATGGTAAATATCTCCCCAGAACAATCGATTGCGCACACCACAAACCATGTCATGGTGTGACGTTGATTGAACAATGATTTAAAAACGTTTCTGGAGTAATTTAGCACTAAATGAGCTTGTTTTGTTGCGACCAAGTCGCGTTCATGCAGATAATTGTATCTGTGGTGTTGCAATAGGAAACAGTGATTGTTTTAGAAGTAGCGTTTTTTGTTCGTTTTTTTAACGATTTTGTAATGAAGCCGGATAAGGTAATTACAAATTATATGAAGGGCAATCGTGGGTGGCAGTTATAGCGCGCTGTTTCTCATCGTGACTATTACGCCTGCATTGTAGAAGCTCACTCACACTCAAAGAGTGGACGGGAGGTTCAATCTGAGCTTCCCTTGAGTGTCAGTGCTGTTTTTGAATAGTTAGAGGGTTAGCCTCGTACCTTACTATGTGACTACTTACCCTCCAGCTATTCAAAAACAGCACTGACACTCAAGGGAAGCTCAGATTGAAGTGTGAGTGAGTGTGAGTGAGTTTTTGGAATACAGGCGTATGACTTGTAGATTAATAATGATTAATGGTAAATAATCAAAAATAAATAGTTACCATTTGGGAGAATTATAATAACCAAATGCAATAATTGGTAAGAGTTGAGTTTGAAGGTAAATCTTTAAAAATAATTCAAAACCCATTATTGGATTCGAAAAAGAATTTTTTCCCTGTGTATGTACAACCAGCATCGGCAAAATATAATCCAAAACAATGCAATTAAACAACAACCTTAAAAATAAGATCTATTCCTCGATCTATTCAATCAATGAAATCAAATGAGAATGATCTAACTATAACCATTCATCGTATTTAAGGTAGCCTACCAAGAATTGAAGAAATAAACAATCCACAAAAAAACTAGTAAACAAGTACCTTATATGCATGGGCACAGTCACGTTTCTACAGAAATCCAAATAACTGGAAGCTGACAATATATCAAACAATTTAATACTAATTAACACATTGAAATTCTATATTACCTCATACAGTTAATACTCGGTCTTCACTCTTCACCCCCCAAAGCCGCAATGAAAGATTCATGATATACACGCGGCCTCAATAGCATCGTTTAATTATTACTCCTTGCAAAAGCAATAATGCCCGAAACAAACAAGAAATCATGGCATGCATGACGCAAATCATTTTTCACACCGTCCTGTTTACAACAGCTAGTTTCATTTTTTACAAGATAAAGAGAGATAATTTTGAGATAACATTTATATAATGACAATAAAAAACAAACCACGTCCATACCGATCACTCTGCTGGCTCATTCCCAGCGAAAAGAGACTATATATCTTTCACCAGGCCGAAAAAATGATACCTATACGTTTCCTATTTATTGTTGGCATGTTGTGCAAAAATTCAGCTAGTATAGGTCGGGGATTTTTTGAATTTTTTTATAAATCCTCCATGCATGAGAATGATATTCTACGTCAATTACGACAGCACAGATGGCACAAATATTTGTTAAATAAATAAATAAATATTACATCAGCTTTGAAACAAACAAGTTATACTACGAAAACTTGCTCCAAAACGCTTTGTCAACTTCAGATAAAAGAAATAGGATCGGTGATTTCAGTAGCGAAAAGCTATAGTTATACCGAAACCGCAGACATTTTATAAATACACCTCTGAAGAAACGTTCTCGCATGTGTCAACTTTATGAGAAGTATATATAGGAGCGCAAACAAACTTATATAGATTTTAGAATTTAGGAGAAGAACAGTTTAAGAGAAACTAACGGAGCTATATCCAGTATAAAGAAATTTAGTTCAGTTTGGATCAATAAGGACACTCACAGACTCCAAGACTGTATCAATATTGGGAACTCACAGACATAGGAACTCTAGATAGAACATTTTATAGCCACAAGATGCAATTATCTTAAAATGCATGTGTTTTTTATTAGATATTTACTGCATGCTGATTTTATCTGCAAATATTGACGCTGTTGTACAAATATTTTATGCAAATATTTCGATATAAAATTTGTTGTTTGTTTAGTGGTTTATACCTTCTAGCACTTAAAGCGCTGACAGGATGTATATATAGCACTATATATATACATATCAATAACTATAGTCCATCTCTAAGGATTTATCTATGTAACGATAAAGTAGTAACTGTTTTAAGTTCCACTGCATGATAGGAACAAGCATATTAATATGTCTCTCAACTAGATATGAATAGAATGGAGATAATATTCTCATGCACTCTGATATAAGTGCCGGCATGACCACGCCTATATATGAGTGTATTATGCTAGGAAATTTCTTAACATGTAACCGCAAACTGTGTAATATTATATTTTTCGACCATGTTTTGACTATATTGTTTTGTTAGAGCTTGTAGGCGTCCTGTGTTTGCGTAAGGGGGCAGCCTTACTTAATTAACAAGATCACGACAATCGGAAATGGCCGCTATATCGCCAGATTCCACCTGTCCACGAAACACGAGCAAAAATGCGAACAAATTGGTCGAACTTTTCACCATAAAGATTCCATCGTTTCCGCGGAAATTCACAAGATGTGCGCTCCTTATTCTTCACAGGTTTTCTGCCAAACGTTATCGCGATATTACGCCGTTATTGATGTGTGCCTTAAAGCTCGTTAATTTAAAAGCAATTATAAAAAAGACGACAGTCTCATTGATAATCTACATGGGGTCTGTTTACATTCCTTGGCTAGTTTCGTGGCGACAGAGGGCCTTGCCACAGAGGCAGCACTTGCCAAAAGCCCGATATATCCTTCCCTTATTAGTAATAGACTGACAACTTCCTTTACTATATAGTGACTTGACAGACCTTTTGCCAAGTTTTATGGCGACAGAGAGCTTGTTAACCAGAGGCTGCCGTCGCCAAAACACGTTGTGACATATCCTGTTCGTATATGTGTTTTGTTCCGCCTTTTCAGTAAAATTGATTTTTGTCACAGAGGTGTGATAAGGTTCATCCCTTATTGTCCCATTGTTACTGCAGGAGGAAACTTTAACTACATTAAACTTTAATCTGTGCGCTTCAAATATGTCCTAAGTTAAAACCTACTAGCATGCATTCAACTCCTATATAGAGATGGTCTACAGTTATATCAGCACATTTGGCTGTCAGCGTTTAAGTGCTAGAGGGCGAACAACTATTAAAACAAATAAGTCCGATAATTGATATCAAATATTTGTACAAAAATATTTGTACAATAGAAGGAATATTTGAATGACAAGGCCAGCAAACTTGGTAGCAAGAGACTAGCACAAAAGATGACTGGTAACGTTTCAGTTAAATGCTGAATTGCGAAAGACCATAATTATATAGAGACGAAGCTCATGTTTCACGAAGCGAAGGTTTATTAGGGCGGCTCTGGCTGCTTCCCCAAGAACTATAATGTCTGATCAAGGATGTGATGGGAACGACGCATACAAAAGCTCATCAAACTATTCACTTTGTACATGTAATTATTTAAACTAGAGATATATAAAATATTACGAACATGCAGAATAATTCTACTAAGCATACAAATCTCATGGCTTAGCGGCCACAGCCTATACTAGTTATATGGGTGTAGACAGTTATATGGGCGTGAACAAAGATAAAATTATCGCATATCCGCCGAAACTTTTCTGCTAACAATGCAACAATGAGTGTCGGCCTATCTTGACCTGATTAGCGGAACCTAGCAGAACGACAATGCCACATCAAAAATGGCGATGCGCTTAAATCCTTTGGAGGGTAAAATAACTACGATTTCAATCGATTTCAATATATAATTCCACAGAAATAAGCACGAGTAAACCAGTTTAAGTAGAGAAAAATTATTTGCGGCTAAATGCAAGTGGAATTGATAACACGTGTAGAGATTAGGACTTAGATATTTTTTTACCATATGTTCCTGGAACTACGGTACCGATGCACACAGCATAGATTTTCGCACCAAATATTATCACGAAATATATACTGTACATAAAGTATAGCATGTACTACAAATATTCCTATTTCTGTCATAAAAAGCGTTTTGGTATAAACTTGAGTTCGTCCAATCTTTTTCAGGTGTTTTCATCCACACCACGAGAGTAATTTTGGTCTGCCGCGGTCTAAATGTTTTATTCGTATTTTATGAAACTCTCCATCTTCCGTTTGATTTTAAGCAAATGCTATACAACAATCAATATATTGTCCAATAAAGACAGGGTGGTCCCACACGAAAAACAACGGCAATTTAATGAAATCGGGAAATTCAGATAACCCCTAGCGACATTCACATCAGAGTTTAATAAGTAATATCGCGTCTGCGACATTCTCGTTGTCTAGCGCGAGGCGCTGATTCATGGCTGAGCTAAACTGACCGTGGGTTGCGTACTAAAAACAGTCAAATATATTTTATATATTATAGATGGAAATATCGAGTGTGGATTTTATACATCTATTAGATCTAATCAGGAGCACTTGGAAAAAATGCAACTATAGGCCCGGCCTCTGCCCTGGCAGGAATCGAAGGATTCCAGGCAGGATTCTAATACAGCGCTCTAGCAAACTCAGCTACAGAAGCCAGTTGTCGAGCTGTAACGGACCAGTTCATGTAAAGATACTAATTAGGTGGTGCTACTATGATTTTAGACTAGCTGACATCTTCGCAACGCTTATCTGGTTCCCAATTTTTTTTTAGCAAAGTTTTCAGATTGAACGATCTTATATATATTTTTCTTTTTCCGTAATAGTTATATGTTTTTGGCAGATCTAAACTGGAAACTATTGCTAGTTTGGCGTAACTGGGAAAACGGCGTAAAACGCCGAACACTCTGAGACGCCGGGACTGTTCATCAACCTTTTCTACACTGGGAACGAGTTTCGGAGTTCGTACGGATTCGTCGGGTCATTCGTAACTTTAAATCCGTTTAAATGTTACTTATGAAATAACCAAATAAATAAAGCAACAGAAATTAGTGTTCCGCAAGTTTTAGTATGCATTTGTTAACTTATTTGTAAAATATTTAAAAAATAGAAGGATTCAAAGTTTTACGTGCGTGCATGTACGTGCGTACGAAAAACGCAACAGTGGAGATCAGCCTTAAGTATTGGACGCCCACGTTAAAAGTTTTCAGAAATATGTACCGATAAATTTCCTGGACATCATTTGATTACATCATAATATATGAATGGTCAAAAACAAATATACACAATTAACCAGAACGACATGCATGCACTCTTTCATGCGACGCAAATATACGCACATGTGAGATACGCATCTTTCTTACGTATATGTATATGAATCGTTCTTACGTATGTGCGCAAATGAAGCGTTATCCACTTATCGCCACTCAAAATTGATTCTCTTCGCTTGGAAATTGTTCCGTTGTTATTTGACGCGCGGATTTTCTTTCTCGAGCGTGAAAAACCCTGGCACCCACTCAGGGTAGTGCCCCATATCTAACGCATGGAAAAACGCTATGAATCTGGTCTTAAGGCCTGTTTAAACGGATCCAACATTGTTGGAACAACATCATCCAACAATGTTACTATAATAGATATGACTGCTTCTCTTTCAAATCTTTTTGGTTAGACAAGCTTTACTCAAACTCTAAACCTAGTCTTGACAAAAATATTTGAAAAAGAAGCCGTTTGGGCCATTATTTCAACAATGTTGGATGATGTTGACCCAACAATGTTGGATCCGTTTAAACAGGGCTTTAAGCTAAAAGCAAGCAAAAAGTAGTATATAACGCTACTTTTATACCGGAACCAAATGAATTTACACAAAATTTGCAAGATTTCGCCTTGCATGCATTCACTTCATATCCGCTCGCGTGTAGATGTTTCTGTAAGGTGCAAATATTCCCACCTTCTTGTCAGCTAAGTGTTAATTGAAAATCCTAATCGAGATCAAAATAATTACACTAGCAATGATTTAAAAAGATGCGCAAAAATAGGTCGACACATAGGAAATAGAACAGCGCATAGCCAAAAATTTGAGCATATATGAGCACTATTTCACAAAAAGTTTCAGACCAATAGAAATAACTTCTATAATAGTGAAATAATCCACACAGAACATAAGTCTGATGTAAAAACAATAACGTGTTGATATTTGGATAAACGTGTAATATACACTATATATACATACCCTTTTGTTGATGTAACTGATGTAGAACGCCTTTCCTTGTCGAAGACTCGCGATAAATGAACTCTCAATGTTCACAAGTCAAGCGTCTTGGCTGTATTAAAAAGATAAGAGAAATGAGACGCCAATAAGAATCGTATCTGCTTACTCTAATTTCTTCTCTTATCTCAAGCCGAGTCTAAATTAAGCAGATACGATGTAATCATCATGACAGACAATAACTTTAAAGCGAATGCCTTCGGAACACGAAATGGAAAATTGTTGAAATACAAAAGGATTCATTAAGGGAATTTTTATAATCCGTGTGGAATTAAAAAAGATGAAAAAAACACCTGTATGGCACGTTTTTCAAAAGAGATTATGCAAGACAGATATAATCCCGCCCACGACTTTGAAATTCACGCATATATTTAGCGAAAAGTTTCGGCATGCTATAAAGCATTGCACGATACTATTTTCTAATACGAATGCCATTCTGTTGTACAGTATATAATCAACTATCATTTCTACGACGCTGCTTTTTTACGAACGATTAACATGATTTAACATTTCTCAAAATAGATGAGGGACATGTGTCAGGTATGGTATGGTATTATTAAACTAGCTACTACTGGATTAGTTAAATTTGAATTTTTTGCTCAATACGTAATATAGTATATAAAGCAAAACAACGAGCGGTCTTAGGGAACCGAAAGCAAAACATAGCCAACGATGTATATATTTCAAGACACAGACAAGGCCACAAGTATTTTGAGATCTAGCTACTAATTGAATGCACCCCCAAAGCTAGCCCCAAGGCTATATGAATGTGGCCGTTGCGATATTCTAACCGCAAGTTACATATGCTCATGGGCTCTGTATACTTGACAAGGGCCTGGTCAATGACAACCTTGTTTCATGCCCTCCGTGACTTATCGAGAGAAAAAATACGAATAAAAAATATCCAAACAGTAATCTTTTAAACAAGATTGCTTCACTCTGGTTAAATTTTTCTTGTTAACCCAGACACAACCCTATCTGGTTAAATGTCCAGGTTAATGGTTATTGTAACCTTTTTCCTACTAAAGTCTGTCTAATTTGACCAGGACTTCCTGATCTGGGGCTCTGGTTATATATCCGCCCAACAAAGTCTCGTTATTTTAACAAGGACCGTGTCATGGTCAAATATGACCAGATTCCTGATTCCATTAACCCAGACTATGGTAGGATTTTGATAAAATAACCAAGACATTTATCCAAGAATATTAAGTTAAACCAAATAGGGTTATTTCTAGCCATCTAAACCTAGAATAAATTTTAAAACTTGTTTTTACCGTTTTACAACCAATATATTTAACCACAAAAATGCTGCCTAAGAACTAGCATGCAATAAAACCAGCCTGGCAGGTATGATAATTCGCTTACTTGTTGAATGACAAAACAATCAAAATTGTCACACATTTAAGTATGTCAATGGTCTGTGAGAACCACTTTAGTATATAAATTAGAGCTTTATGATTTGAGCGGAAAATTACCTCTAATTAAGGTTAAGCATCTTGATGAGAGCGCGATTGTTAATTTAATAATTTAATAAGAGGTATTTCAATTCACGCAGTTGAACAATTGTTTCTACAATATATAAGTCATGCGCTTACTCTATTAACATAGTATAAGCAAATTTACAAAATCATCTCGGCCAAAGGGACAATCGAAAATTCGAAACTTAGATCTGGCTAACATGCACGGATATCCGGCCTAAAACAGTGGACCAACAATGAAAAGACAATGGAATATTCAGATCGCCGAATTTTTTTCGGTATTTAACACTTAGTTAGTTTCCTCAAACGTTTCTTACAAATCCTTACCTGTGCAAAATTCCTACTGTGATCACAGAAACTTTGATAATGTAAAGCAGGCTTAATAAATGTATAAAATTCACACTCGTCTACAAAATCCTTCAAAGTTCTATCGAATTAGATGCCCAAAATTCATGATATGACGTCAACCTAAATATTCATGGAACTCGAAGGTAAGCGCGAGTAATTTTATTTATGGTTACAGATCAAACACAAAGTCTGGTTGCTAAAGAGAGACATCTCAACACCAGATATAATTTGAAGATTTTTTAAGTAAGATGCGCACCACGCATCAGCATGACGTCATAGTGTGATAAACTTGCGTAGGACTTCAGTGAAGTATTTTTAGAATTGAGGAACAAACAACAAGACACTACACTACTAAAGATAGGCGATTTTTCTAGGTGATTCTGGGTTCAAAACAAAACACTATAAATAGGAGATTTTCCATGTTAAAACTAAAATTAACTGTGGATTTTTGACAGGCATTGACCGCTACCGTTGTTTGCGCTAAATCAGTACAGATGATATATATCTAACGTTTATAGATGTAACGTTCGTATAGCTGTAACTATCTTTAGAGAACTGATTCTGTTCACACATCTCTATATTGTGTGGGTGATGCAAAGATATAGTCATCATTTATATCGGTTAGTATCTAAGCGAAAATAGATTCTGTTTGAAGTAGATAAAATGGCCTGTTCGTATGTTCACGAGGCGATCAGACCTCACCCAAATCACTTACTATTTTGTAAGCCCGCATATTTTATTACGTTTCGTATAAACGATAGCTAAGAGTAGGACTGGTGTCTACCCAGCACAATGTTGGTTAAAACATTGATTAATGCCTTAATTAATGGACCATAGGATGTGACAAATCAACATTGTTATATATTTTTTGTGTGTGTTTCGATGTTATGTACTCAGGTGAATATAATATTTTTATGTTACTCTGAGTGTATATCCACACCGAGCAGGCTGAGAAATTGAACCCGCGACCTTTGGGATACTAGCCAAAGCTCTGCCAACTGAGCTGCGAGGCCAAGTCTGTTCGAGTGTGTGGTATTTCGGAACTAAGTCTAGTTACTAGTACCTTCGATACCAATGTGTTCTATGATCATGATATATATATAGCCTATATATTTTTTGTGTGTTTGTTTTGATATTATGTACTCAGGTGAATATAATGTTTTTTTTTATGTTTCTCTGAGATTTTAGAATCAATTTTCATGATTGTAGATTCATGGAAATGAAGTTGTACGAGTTTATTATAATACACATTTACAATACTTTACAATACACAATTATTTTTGCCTAAAACTGTCGCATGCAACCTTCTAACAAGTTGAGTTGTATACTCTACAAATCAAACACGTTGTCGCGACAGTCGCGTAGGTGCTTAGTTTACACAGTACAAGTCTGGTGTTAACAAAAGCAAACTGAAGTTCATTATTCAATCTACTGCTAGACTTGGATCAAGTCCGTCCCTCGCGCTCTCCTTCGGACTCTAGAGAGACGGACTTGATCCAAGTCTAATCTACTGCATGACATGTCGATATTGATTCATATTTCAACGACTAGAAAATGAACATTGCAGAAATCAGAGCGGAAACATATGCCAGTCATATAATTTAGCTGAAACGTATACCCCCTGTACAATTTAGCTATCTGACAGCACAATAACATTCGTCATCAGCTTCATCAGCTAACACCGGAGGCTATAAACGCTTGACCGCAACACTGACCGCAACTATTAATAAGATATGCCCAGGCACATGTGTGGCGTCTCCCCAAGGCATTGCTGTAATCTTTCCATGTCTATAATAACCAGTTAGCGGTTACAATATTAGTAATAGTTTTGTCGAGTGACATCATACAGATTTACATAAAGAGTATCCACCACTGAACTAAAAAATAAAACTGGATAATCATGCTTCTCAATGAGGAATGGGTCATTTTCAAAGTTAAAATATTTATAATGAGATCTTTAAATATATCAAATTCTTTACAAACCGAGGCGTTTAAATTAGAAAGAAATTGTCCTTTCCTATGTCTAAACTTGAATATCTAAACCCAAAATTATGTCTAAACCCAAAATAATAATGTATATAAGCGATAAACAACGAGTGAACGGATGGAATGATTGGATGGAATGAAGAACAGTGGGATTTTGAAATCAATGAAAAGCACATAACAATCACTGGATCGTGACTGACTATACTATAAACTATACTAAGCTAGTGTCATGGTGTAAAAATATATTGAAATAGCGACTTGCCTCTGTTTTTGTCCAGCTATAAACGTCCTCTATAAGGACCAAATTAACGTTATAATATGTTAGCTTTGATACGTAAATTTTTACTCCTTACAGCCTGACCGTACGACTAAAATACAGTTTTATACCACCTCTTATATAATACATACATGCCTGATATTTTACCTCGGTAAAAAATGACGACTTATACTAGATTACGTGTTAACACTTCAGTAGAAAAGCAATATAAAGCTCAATAGTGAAAAATAAACACGTTATCCTACATGTAGATAACGTATTGAAAAAATCTCTATTCATGTTTATTTTGCATAATAAAAAGTCAAAATACACGCCTAACTAAAGTCACGATAAGATGGTTTATGTTGATAGCTAGCACGACAAGTGTTTTCTAGGCTTACGATTTTCTCTACTATACAGATGGAACGAAAATACATTTTGTCAGTGGGGAAAATGCAATTATGAAATATTTATAGAAAGACAAATATAGCTACAAAGTAAAGTATAGGATGTGAAAATTTCGACTCATGCACTATAGGCCTATATAGTTTTTTTCTGTTAAGTTTAGGTAATAATAGTATATGGTTTCGAGAGTGCAATTTGAGGAAAACACGCACGCACGAGTGAGTTTTTCAAAGACGATCAAATCCAAAGGACGAGTGCAATTTGAATGAAGTCTTTGAAAAACTCGCGAGTATACATTGCACGAGAAACCATATATACTATATGCTTGTGTGATGTTACTCTGAGTGTATATTATGCATGAGAGTTTCGGCTGCGGAAGAAATTTTATTTCAGGCCTGATCAATTTTAAAAGACTTAAAATGGTTGAAATTTTAAAACAGTTGCACGAGAGTTTTTGTTTCATGTTTTTTCAGAGAGATATACACTCAGAGTAACATCACACAAGCATCTTATTCACCTGAGTACATTACACCAACACAGCAAATCTCATATACTATATGATACTATAAATTACTTATTAAAC